TGTGTGAGATTTTTTTCTTTTTTTTTTGAGAGAGATAAGTTCGTGTCCATTGTCGCAGCTGTTGCAAACTTTACAGTAAAAATCAGCCGGAAATAGAGCAAAGATTTGAAGTATAAATATTTCATAGCGTTTTTCACGTACAAACAGCGATGTTTGTTATCCAAACGTGAAAATGACAGCAAAACCAGCGTTGATTGCTTCATGATTGACGTCTTTGCGATTAAGAGAGCGGCATTTAGATTTTAGTGTCAATGCCTCTAATGATTACAGTGAACAGTTTTTGTCGCAGGCAGCAATTATGACCCAAGCTATTCACCCCGTCACATTTCTAACACGTGTGTGTGTGAATATTTGCAATATATAAGACTGAATAACCTCCAGTCAAAAATATCTGATAAAAACTCAGAACTGATAAAATTATCGTGAATAGATAGATATGCTTGGATTAGTAGATACGAGGTAAAAATCATGTAAAATGCCATGTTTACTAACGTATCTCTGAGTTGTCACTTTTCCAATGCATAAAGCAAGAGTTATGCCTGGTGTCCCAAGCAGATATGACGCCTGAAATGAAAAACAAACTGTCTGTTATCTCAGACTGTTAGTCGTACTGAAAATTATACAAGATATTGGAATCTACATATAAATGGTCAGTCTCTGTCTACATAAACAAGAATCATCAGGCATTAACTCGGTCGAGAGAACCGATGTTTTGAGTCACTATTTCTGCAAGTAAAATAATTTGATGGCATTAAATTCTTTTTTTGATATTTGAACCTTACATTGGCGATACAGCGATATCGAAAAATTCTACATTTTACAAATTGGCCTCTTCAATAATTTTCAGAGATTCACTACGTTTCGTATTGTGGAGTAGTTTCTTAGTCAAGGAACACGCAATTTGTGACTAATTAGTCGCTGCGAACACTGCCCCCGAATATCATCTAAGCTCTATAAAAGTTTGCAAGGACAAATTCTACAAATTGACAAATGCTGGTGACGCAAAATTGTTCAGTTTTGTATCTACAGGAAATTACAGCTTATTTGGGAAATGACTACATTTGTCAATAGAACTTCACTGGATTAAATTCAATATTTTATTTGCCTCAAATACCTAAGTACCTTAAATACAAGTTAATAGATGATTTTTGAAATGAAACGATTCTCTAATTTTCATTTTGTGTTAACACAGGCACAGAATAAAGGAGTTAAGAAGTCTCAAATGTGATTGGATTTTAGTATCAGCATTGACAAAAGCAGGTGCTTGCATTAAAAATACGGAATCACAAGCTTCATATACTCATAAAGATTCTATTTACTGGGAAGACTTAACATAAAATAATAAATGTATGAAAACTCTTTTTAGAAAGGTGCGGTACAAACTTGTTCCTTATAAACAAACAAACAACGCGATTGAAATCATCCTTTTGCACGAATCTATTAAGGCGTTTCAAAAACAAACCGCCATAACAATAATTGGCTCAACATTTAACTTTATGACGATGCATTCTTGACATGTTTTTTATTCGCTCATCAAACTCGATATCCTATTTGTACAAAAGTCGTCTCGTAACTGCAAAAAAACTAATCCAAATTTATTTTGTTCCCCAATTTAGTAAATATATAATATTAGGAGTAGGATTCCACAAATTTCAAAGTTGGGGTACTTGGAGAATTTCTCAATTTCCTGCTCAAGCAAAAGTGAAGATTGGAATCTTGAAGTTATTTTTCACAAATGCTACTCAGCTTTTAGAAAAAACTGACATTAAAGATTGTAGGTCTGGATGGAAACAAGTTTAAAGAAATGAAAATATATTGCAGGTAGTTTTGTCTTAAAAAAATTTATGTCGCAAGATTAAACATGACACTGGCCTGCAAAGGCCCTGACTTTTGGTCCTGGTTTTAAAATGTGCATTAAAAACAGTTTTGTTTTCATATGTTATGTAATGAACACACCATTACTTGCTCCAACGTACAACACGCTGGTTTACTCCGCATAGGCCAATGACGTCATATGAAAGTGTTTCCTGCAACGGAAAGAAATGCTTTTAATAGCGAAGACGCATCTATAGTGCACTCTACGCTCATAGAATAACACAGTCAATCGATACTATAGTTTAACTTCATTCAACGCTGGAGAAATAAATATACATAGTTGACAAATACAATAATGTTGGCAAAATTTGCAAAAAGCATTGCTACAGGAGCTTTACACAGTCACGTCCAGAAGGTACATCCCTTTCAGAAAAATGCCCACAAGTCACATTAGAAGAACACACTTGTGGATGCATTTCCTCATATTATCGCCAATTAAGTGGTCAGTTATCAAAAAATCAAATTGTTTGTAAAAGTCCTTTTTCGCAATGCGTCACCGTATATTTCTCACAAACAATCAAAATCTGACCTATAAAGCCCAAAGTGAATATTTGTTATTTAATTCATATTTGATTCCGTCATAAAAAAGCACGGATTTTGACAGTTTTGACTATGTATGCGATTCAACGAAAGAAAAAGACATTCTGAAATCTACCTGTGAATCATTGAAAATCTCCTCAGGAACTTCTGCCTCGTGTATCTGAAATGTAAGGCAAAATGGAAATTCAGATACCTCAATTTCAGCCTTAAGCCTGCATTGGCTTAGATTCATCCATATAAGAGGCAATTCTTGCTAAAGCATGCACCTTTCTCTAGTTTATTTACAAAAGTTTTCAATATTTTCTTCTATCTAAGTTGTTGCCCTGTTACATCTAATAATTAAACATTCTAAATTTCTGCGATAGTACAATTATTCACTTGAATTGTAGATTGCTCCAAATTGGATCGGTTGGCTTTTAAAGTTATAAGCTTGCTTTAATCGCTATTGAGAATAACAAAATTCTCACAAAATTCTTCATCAAGTTTGGCTGCTCGTCAGCTATTTCACTTCTATTAGCGCTTGACAGCCAAACTGTATTTTCGTCTACGTAATTAATTTTTTTTGGTCCAAATCGAGAGATATATCGCTAATGTAAACGTCAAAAAGCGACGAGCCTAAGATTCATCCTTGAGGAACTCCTTGCTTTGTCCCCGACCACTATTAAATCCAATTACTAAAATCGGAGTTAATTTTTAGTCGTTGTTCTCTTTTATCTAGATAGCCATACACAATGAGTTGTCACTGAAGCTGTGAGATTTCAATTTGGCTAAAAACATATGTGCGATATGAAGCTCTGAAGAACATAATCGAGGACTCTGTAAGTTCTGAGGGACCCTTGATAAACATCTCGAGCTCCCAGGAAAAACCTAAGGTTGATATCCGATATCAATTATCCTACATTGGTACGAAATTCGTGGGTCATCAGATAATCCTGTAAAATTGAGCGTTTAACTGATTGTCGGATTGTTCTTGCAAACTAAGAGCAAATTAATAGGATTAAGTTAATAAGTCATTTTGATCACAAATCCTTACGATCTATTCCTGCTCAGAGTGGTTTCTGCTATTTTACGTCATATTCATAAAATAATCACTATATGGAGAAGTTCTTTCGTGAAATAATGCTGTTTTTTGCTATCTTCTTTTGGATTAACAAGCCTATTGCAAAATTTTTAGGAAATTCAACATAATTAAATAAAGATGTCACCTGCATATTTAGTCTTCGCCGTGCCTCAACAGCGCCAGTTAAAAGTAATTCCAAAAAAAGTAGATGAACTCAAATTTTCTACTTGTTTGAAAAGAAAATCAATGAAACAAAGAGCCACGATAATTAATTTTGAGGAGGAGATAAGAGAAAAAATGGAGCTGAAAAAACTTACGTTTAGGAAGGCTTGCTGCTTGGTTTCATCCAGTAACCAGAAAAGAACACTGCCATTTTGGCCAACTGTCGCAAATTCGTTCATTGTGAAGGGATCCCAGCTGACCGCATGAATCGGGTACCGGGTAAATGTTGAAACTAGTACGGTATAATCCATGGTGCTCCAAATAACAACGGAACATTCACGATAATCACCGATAGTCAAGAGAAATCGGTCATCGCGAGAATACTGCATTGCAACAACGGCGTTTTTGTGATGATTGATTGACTGCAATAGGCGAAATCAAACAGGGTTAGCAATGAATGACGATGAATGGTGATGAAGATGATTATAATTTAGACGACGAAGGTGATTTATGATACTGATTATGATAGCTTGATTGTGATTCATCAAGATGAGGAGAACAATGACCATGATAGATGAAGGTTTATTATAAAGATGAAGGTCAATCTATAAATGTATTTTACATTTTACTTTTAATAAGTAAAAATAGATTGGTTTGATAATTTGAAGAAGTTTTTTAATAATCTAGAAAACTTGAACATCTATTAAGTGTCCTTCGTCTATATTCTAACTCGACTAGATGTACTGTCAAAGAATCCAAGAGAGTACTTAATATCAGAAATATCAACAGTGAAGAGAGGAGATGGAGGCGAGAATCCCAACATCGAAATTGCAGTATTGTAGATAAATTGAATCATTATTGTATCAGGATTGTTGATAAATTGTGCCGCAATTGTAACAGGGTTATACATTTTTTGAATCACTATTGTGTCAAGAATTGTAGACATAATGTCTCCCTATTGTAACATGATCGTATCACTTGTGAATCAAGAACATAGACGTATTGAATCAGTACCTTGCGACAAAGTCCAGTGGAGACTTCCCACACACAGATTTGGGATTTCTTGGAACTAGGGCCTGCAGCAGAAGCGGAAGCGATGACTTGGCCATCATTTTGAACAGCCATAGTTGATATATCTTCCACATGGTACCGAAGATGCTTCTGTTTTCCTGACGTTAGATCCTCCACAATGACCATACAGCCACAGGAATAGGCAAAAAGTCCTGAAATGTGAGCAAAAATTTCAGCTCATTGAAGTAACATAATGTCAAGGCTTCTAAGATATACTCAAAAAATAGAAAAGAAAGCGTTCAAACGATTATCATTAAACATTCATTTAAGAGGCAACGATTCAACAATTATTTGGAATTTATAACCAACGATCTTTTAAATAGCTATCAGTATTAAATTCATCATTGGTTCTCTAAAAACGTGAAGTTAACGGAGCAACTAGAATGTACCTGTTACTGGGTGCCAAATCATGTTACTTCTTCCAAGCCCATCGTATCCTACCACTGAATTGAGCTTCAGACCAGCTTGGTTTGGCGGCGCTGAATACCTCTTCTCTGCCAGCTTTGAGATTTTTTCCCTTGCTTTGAAATGAGCCATGACTTTGGGCGGTGCATGATGGGATATGACGGTTTCCAAGGTGGCAGTTGGCAATGGACTCAAATCATTCACAACAGGTTGTTCTCTTTTCTTGTCATTTGGAGTGGCCTGGAAAATGAAAGATGTACATAAGTTCGATGCTAAGCATAGACAGGAGAAAGGAGAATGCAAAGAAATGTATACCTTCTTTTCACTGGCTGCTTGAAGTTTCCTAAGACAAGGCAATTCATGCTAGGCCCTAGACCATATTTAGGCCCATGATAAGGAAGTCGCCTTTTAATATCATTGATGAGTAATAGCGTTTTACGTAATAGCAGGCTTTTCAAGATTCTGCAAAAGACAACTGGAAATGTCAACAGAGGTTGTCTTTAGGCCAACATAGAGAGGAATTCGGCTACCTGGTCACACTTCCATAGGTCTTTAGCGTTTGTGCTAAATTGCAATGAACAAAAGAGACAGCACATTCAGAGGTCTTTAGGACAACTCACTAAGCTGAACTTTAAGCTAAGTTAAGTCAAACTTGGGAGCTTAATCAAAAACTGCGTAATAGAGAGGTGAAATGCAGGTCCGGTTTTTCCAATCTCTTTTTCGACTAAATCAACATCGGTATTGTATCTCTATGCTGGCGGACATATTGCTGATCCCTACTTTTTTGGTCTTCATCTTTATTTTGTATATTGTAGACATCATTTTGCCGCATTCGAGATCTTTCTGTTTTAGTTTCTTTCTGACATGCAAACCCTTAAACCCAATACACACAGAATAATCACAATCTTTTTATCCATCTAAATCTTTTCATCTTTACTTCGATTCCTTCGAAAATAAATATTGATCGCCATGCAAATCATACTTACAGGCCTATTCACAGCAAAATCAACAGAAGATTTTTCGGAAGATTCTTCGCTCGAAATGTCTAAGGATTCGTCCATTTTCTTCTCGGGTCTTTCTTGAGGAATTGGGCTGATACTCAAATCAAGAGGGTCATACTCCGTTGGCCGTGGAGCCGCCTTGCGGGGGCGTATCATACTATCTTTGAAGGGGGTCGTGTCTGTTGCATGATCTTCACGTACATCATCCACAAAAGAGTTTGCTATGTAGTGAATGATTGAGTTGTATTGCATAGGATGAATATGAAATTAGCAAGCTAAAATTGTCAATAACATGGCTGCGATCGAATGGCATTTTATAGGATATGCCACAAAAAAGAATAAAATATAACCTAAATCATAGAATAATTAAGCATCTCAACCAAAGCAAATTGTGAAAATAAATGACATGCGTTAAAGAAAAATTTGATTCAGTCGAGAGCGTAAATACTTATTCTTGAAAAACAAACTTTTTATCGGATTTGCCTAAGGCTTTTTTATAAAAGTGAGAAAAAATAAGGGGTTTGGCTGTATATTGCTAGAACATATGCCATTGCTTACACGCTAACATATGGCAAATTCTCTTTTAAACTCGGAGATATGAATAAAACACCTTCGCCTTAGAGGAGAGGCGCAAGGGTTACTAGGTTAAGAAATTATTTAAAGAATTAAGAATTTAACTTTTTGGTGTTTATCGTTGTTCATAAGAAAGATGTTACCAGAATTTTTCTATGTTTCATGGAAATAAAATTGAAAATGGCGTAACGTATCTTCACTTGGGATATTTTTGTACCCTTTGGTAGAGAAACGGATCATATGACTTCCAACTTAAGTAGCCTAGATTGTCTTTACCTTTCGCTGTCCTTTCCTGAGAAAAATCAAGCATCTTTTTCGGGCTTTTTCTCGCACTTCTGATTAAAAAACTTTCCAATTATTATCAACGATTACATGTCAGGAGATCAATAAATAAAAAAGATTTGCTAAGTCTAAATAATGAAGTTTGAGAGCAAATTATTGATAACTATTGATGACCAGAGAGGTCAGTTAGTTCTTAGTTGTTCACTGAGTGTTGTTCATCTTGTTGTCATTGCAGTAAAAGCGTTGTAAGACATAAGAAACATAAGAAAATATATATCTTCAGAGGATGTTAAGCACAGATGGTGTATGGCCTGCATAAAGCAAGCAAAAAAATATACTGGACCCCAAAGTACGACTTCAGGGACCAATGTAGGTACTGTAGATTCAATGTAGGTGCTGTATATTTTGTGAGGCAAATACTTTATTCATATGAAAATAAGAAACAGAAACAAACAGAAACAAACAGAAACAAACAGAAACAAAAAGAAACAAACAGAAACAGAAACAGAAACAGAAACAGAGAAAGTACAGGGAAAGTACAGGGAAAAGCAATTAGATACAAACTAACTATTTCAACCGTAGTTTGATTAGCAGGTATGAAAAACGATGAATTGAAGTTAGTTTCCTTCGATTTTGATAAGGGTAAAATTCTTCATCATGATATCAAAAGAGAATCGATCATACCTTTGTTCAGTCATCGAGGAACGCTTCCCGAGAAAGTCCCAAACAAATATGCATTCGCCAATGCTGTAGAGCTTCGAGCCATTTGCAGTGAATTTCAAATCTGCTATGGGCTCTGAATGTCCTATGAAAACCTTCAAAAGAAAAGAAGCCATAACAGACCCTTGAAGAATGACTGGATAACGATACGAAACAAGGTATATGTCCTACCAGTATATGTCTACATAGGTTTATAATTTCAATTTCTATCCTCGCTTCTTGGTGTGTATTCACAGTTAAAAACAATACAATTACTGTTTTTATTCATTATTAAAAAGGGCGTATTAGATAAGGGTTGTCTGTCTCGATAGGTGAATAAACTCAAATCAAACAACATCAAACAACAGCATGTCGCAAGCTAGTTGTGGCCAAACCATAACAATTCAATTTCCTTTCCTTTCTCTGCTGAGCAAAATGCTTTGTGCAAAAACTGCGTTTTATAAAAAATTAAGCTTATTATTAATTGTATGCTTTAGAAAAAACTTAAGCCTGGTTTCCATATAGCCGTAAGGCTGCCTGCGACTGCCTGCGACTGCTTTCTGCCATCTTCCATCTTCCACCCTTACAGTAGCGCCGGCAAATGGAAATGTTCTGCCTGCGGTATCGGTAACTATGCTGGTAACTAGGTAAAGTTTGAGCGGGAAAAACTGGCGGGCAAAATTCAACAACAAAGCCCTGTTTCAATTGGTTTTTGCACATCACATGATCCGTTTGAACAAAAGAATGCCGCAGGCAAGGCGTTTCCATTTGTAATTTGTCTGCCGGCGGTACCGGGAGGCTGCCGTAAGAGCCGGGAAAAGTTGAACTCGTTCAACTTTCTCCCGGCTCTCCCGGCAGTCTTACGGCACTTCAAACAGCTGCCTGCGGTACCGTTAGAAAGCGTTTCCATAAAGAATTATCTGCCGGCGATACCGTATGGATGGATGATGGAAGATGGCAGAAAGCAGTCGCAGGCAGCCTTACGGCTATATGGAAACCAGGCTTTTTTTGTCATTCAATTAGCGGTTTTCTTGTGATTTTCTTGACCGTGCAGAACTGATGAAAAAAATTGTTGAAATAAGTTACGAAATGCTTGGTCTATTGAAATCATGTTACTGCATTCAGAGCTGCGCAGCGAAAGACTCTTAAACAGCTTGGAAAATATACAGAAACAAGCTCATCAAAATATGTTGTCTTTATTTATAGCTTGTTGCCCTCAAATTATTGGGCTTGCTGTTGTGTAGCTAAGTATTTTGTATTTTAATTTATATGGATTCAGCTGCTCGTTTGAGTCTTTAATCGAAAATGCTTGTTAACTAACCTGGAAATTCAGATCGAATCTCATATGGTAGTCCCAGATTTTGATCACTTTGTCGCCAGCTGTGACCAAGTATTGACCATTCGGACTAATGGCGATTCCGGTGACTCTTCCTCGGTGAATGTTTGAGACCTGTAATGAAGGCAACAAGGATTTATAAGCAAAATTAAAAGGCGGAATTTACTAAATATCAGAAACTGAAAATATTTCTACGAATTCACTGGCCCAGTTTGATAATACCTTGTTGACATCACATTATAGCTAAAATCATTTCTATAGAGCGAATAGAATTTGAAGAAAAGCCAGAGTTAATTGTGCATCCAGTAGAGTTATAATATCGTATTGAAATGGTTGTTTTTGATACAATGAAGTTTATTTCTTGATTCGTTCTTGGGAGAAAATCTGGACACTGAAATCCGGACACTCAAATGTCCGGTACGTAATAGAAAACATCATTGCGATTATTGCGATAAGACAGTCATTTTTGAAGCTCGGCTCGTATTCGATAAACATATACAAAATTAGACAATATCTAAAAAAAATTTGGAGAATTAAGGTACCTCGCTAAGAAGCTGACCAGTATTAGCCTCCAACTTGAGCATTCTTGACGATGAGGAAATAGCGAGGAGCTGGTTGATACTTGAGGGGGCGTAGCAGAGAAGATTAGCTGAGTCTACGATTGCACGGTTAGCACTGTTCGCCATGCTTGTTATGTCAATGCGAAGGAGCTAGAAAAATACGTAGAAACAATGGCTAGGCCAGAAAACAGGCGAATGAGGAAAAAAAATATTGGTTGAAAGAAGATAGTTTTCATACGAATGAAACTGAGGGGTTATATAGGCTGTGACAAGCTGAGTGCTTTGGTTTCGCTTTTGCAACACGTTGAAACGAAATAAAGCAGAAATCCATGCAACTCAATAGACACGGAATCCCGTAACACATAAGGACACGGAGTTCCGTAACACATAAGGACACGGAGTTCCGTAACGTTGACCGTCACGTAAACAATATGACAATAAGCAGTAAGAAGATGCAGTAAAGCACTTATTTGTTCTGTGTGCAGCCTTAGGGATACTTGATAAGAAAAAGAATACGAATGGACTCGTAGCTATTTTGTTGTTATTTCACTTCAGGTAATCATGATATTAGTTTCATTGTGAAAACAATCTCAATAAGTTAATAAGAATTCTATCATATTAATCAAACCTCGTCGAGAGACCTTGCATCGAATACGGTGATGACAAACTCGGAGGGTCCAATGCAAGCCAATCGTCGCCCATTGTTATCAGCGACCATGGTTTGTTCAGAGTATTCATCAAGCTTAGCCAACGCATTAGGAAGAAGTCTTATCAAGCCGAATTCATCTGTTGATGCATCGTAAAGAGCTAAAGAGCCTTTGGCATCGCCAGCAAGCATATGGTTCCCATCAGGTGTTATCACCATACCTTGAAACAGGTTTACAATCATAAATCATGACACAATATTTTGATATAAAGGTTTGCAACTATGCATCAAAATTGGCTTAGCATAAAGACTGCTGTTAAGCGGTCTTTTGCAGAGTGCAGAGTACTCGATACGATTGAGAAAGGGCAGTACACGTCAAGGTGTGTAGAAAAAACTGGTCCTTAGTTGCCACTGCCGAGTTTCATGCTTAATGCGATCATCTTGCAACAGTGGTTCATTCAGATGCATTTGCATCAAATCTCATTTGTTAAAGAAATTTTATCACTGCACAACTACTTTTTAAAATTCAAAAGTCCGCGAGTCCCTATCATGAGATGAATTGTTTTTGGATCTTTCTAGCTTTAGTCTATAATATGAAAGTTCCTTTTTGACTTGCTACCTTTGCTTTTAATACTATGTGGTTTTCAGTTTCTTTTTCGCACTATACACTCTTGAAACTGCTGATTTATCAATTTTGATTTCTCACTGCCAATTTTGGACTTATCAGTGCTAAAAATGGTCACCATTATGCCATAAAAATTAGGCCATTAGGCCTGATTTGTCCTTTTACGTCACATACCCACTATTATTCCTTTGTGATATCTATGCTCTGCCACTAGGTTTGTACTTGCTACATCAAATACCCGAATGCAGCCGCTCACAAATCCACACAGTAGCAACTCTTTGGATGGGTGGAACGACACAACACAAGGGCTTTCTCCCGGTGCACGAAAGTCGTACAGCTGATTCAAGTCAGGGCGATCCCATATCTTTATGCTGCTGTCTTCTGAAACAGTTGCGAGATGGTTGCGAATGTTGTCAAAGGAGAATGACTTGACTTTTTGTAAGTGGCTGCGTATAAGCGTCTTGTAAGATCTTGTAGAGATGTCGAGAACTCCAATGTTGCCCTAATCAGATAAAAGACTTTGGCGATAGGGAACTATTGCAAACATATCCCAATGTCCCACAACAAAAAGTAAAAATTATCCAGCTTTTGGCAATATCAAGGGGGCTAGAATCATATCCTCCTTTAGAAAGATAAGAAAAAGGACAAAAAACAAAACAGTAAGTGGTGTAATTCTAATGTATGTTTGCATAAGTGATCTCAAAATCTTAGCATGATGCTTTTTGTTTATTATTTTTTTCAATTGCCAGTTACTTGTCAAAAGAATCTTTCAATTCTCAAACCCGTCGTCCGGTTCGGTCTTGATTCACAAACAGTCTTTTAAGTTAAAAGACTATTGAATCGAAAAATCTTCGATAAATATTTACAAAAATTTGTGCCCGAATACTGCTGAAATATTTCCATTTTTCTAATTGAAACTCCATGAAACTTTTTTAAAATCGGTTTTGATTGAATTGAGTGACCCTAAAATGGTGACCTAAAAGATCAAACTTATATTTAGCTATATATGATGTGAAATGCACATGATCTGGTGCTTGATGATGTATAGGCAGGCTGTACACGCTATGACGTATTAAGAATGCAACTGAGAGTTTCAGTCCTAAAGTACATCAAAGTAAAGCTTTTGAAATAAACTCAGCTTATAAGAATAAGTTTTCTTTCAATACTTTCTTTCAATATATTTATTTACACGACATCAAACACAATCAAGCTTTCAACTTATTGAATAAAAAATTGTTTTGTAAAGACTCATTACTTTATATCGTAATGTATAATTCATTATTTTCTGCATCATATGAGAAACTCATTCCTATAAGAAGCCAATCTGCCTTTTTTCGATATTTATTTCTTTTATAAGATAAAATTTTACAAGATAAAAAACATGATAAAATAATAAGATTCTTGTATACGGGATTTTGCTATTCGATTGCTGCTGCTTTTTCTTATAGGAAAAAAAGAACGTGTCTAATGGCAATTAAGATGTTGGTAGCTTACCGTTTCAGTTATCGCCGCCACAAGGATACCATTTGGCGAGACTCCTACAGCTGACACTGGACCTTCGTGTTCTAAGAAGGAAGTAAACATTAGCCAGAGAAACGATTGGATACAAAAGATCTGAAAATCAATAACGATAAGGAAGACATGAAAGGCAGACTTTTATAACGAAATGACAGTCTGCTCGGTAACTAGAACTGGAAAAAGAAGCTTGAAAATCGGCTTCAAAAACTTGCGTACGCTTAATAGCTTAGGAGGACTCCCTAAGGGACTACTACAAGAGGTCACATTGATTCTTAACTACGTTGAGAAATAAATGGGCATTTGCTAATGATTAATTGATTTTATTCGATATCTCTGCAGTTAAAACAGTGACAAATGACGTCACTTGCACCAGTCTACCTGCTTCCATAAATGGCTGATCAAACTCTAACGGCCAGAGACGAACAAATCCATCGTTACAGCCAATGGCACAGAATGCTTCATTGACGGAAATGCACGTTAAAGCTGCCTCGGTACTGTCACGAGGCTGCTCTTTGTGACTGCTTCCATTAGTCATTGATAGTCGATGTACAGCCAGAATCGATAAGTTCTTGAAGTTGATTATGAACAGAGATCCTGATGACGTGCAAGCGAATCTAAAAAGAGAAGAATAATAATAAAGATAAAGATGTCGACAAGATAAGGAGAGCATATCTAAAAAGGCTACGCACAGGCTATAGTATTTCTTCTTCTAACCAAAATTCATCACAGTTATAAGTATTTCATGGGAGATTATACTGAGAAAAAAGTAGGTGACTGTTTTATGGTTTTTGCACCCTTCTTATTTATTTGCTTCTTACTTAAAACAGTTTTCTAATGATCTCTCTAGGCGTGAAACTTAGAGCTGCAGCATAGACCCGTCTTGTTCTATACACTAAAATGTAGCTGATCTTGAGACAGAAATGACAAACTATGATATAAATTCAGCAGCTACAATCATAGCATACAAAAAGGCAAGACTTAGGGTTCTAGCAGCAATATGTAACCATAACAGTATACAAAAGCTCAGCTCAATCTGTTTGCCAAAAACTATAAACTCACAGTTTTCTGTTTGAAGGATCCTGCACCAGGTTTTGGATGACCTCAAAGTCGAAATCAGTAAAGCCTGGAAGGGGTCGGTTTCCAGTATCGACGGGATGGGATCGCAAAGACCCGCGTTTGACTTTCCAAACTCGAAGATTGTCCATGCCACAAGTCACCAGTCTAGAAGGAGGGGAAACATTATTTACGGCTATGCCACCCTTTTCAAAATAACACTCAGCTACCGTAAAGGCAACAAGAGTTTACCACGAGGATTGAATTTTCTCGAGTTAGAAGAACTTCTAAAAAACACGCAAAAATCCTCTGTAATAAGATCTTCATTCTTATGTTTAAACTATAAAGATTGCTAGACGAAAAGCTTAAAGCATGTCTAATCAATTTTTGTTTTTCCAAAAGCTATTTTTATACTGTTACAGAATAAGAGATGCTGGGTTGAGTTTAAAAACATATCTACTGGACTGAATCTATTATGTCGTTATATTTCAATCAACTATTTCTTAAATGAAATACCCCTGAATGTACAGCATTTTGTGATGAAATCATAAAATATTTTCAGACAAACGATTACATGCTGAGATCAAAAAAAGTTCTGACTTTGAGATGGCAAAGTAAAGATACGTCAATCAAAGCATCTTACTGCTCAGTTATAACTATTCTCCGCTTCTGCACAGATCATCCTTTGTCACTTTGGTCATATACTCAGTACCTTCTATCTATTCACTGTGATATTTTGCAAAATCGATCATGGTTAGGAAGCTCATAGGATGCTATCGTAAATATCTAAAATACTACCAATGTCAAACAATCTTATTAGTAAATGGCTTTGAAAAAAGCAAATATTTAGTAAACTAAAGCTTTTCGGCTGACACTCTTCAGAGTTTAAAACGTCAGAACATAGACCGAAAACTCTACGCTAGGAAATATTTATACCCAGTTGTGGATCGAAATAGGCCAATCAGAAACACGAGCACGTGACTGTTGAAGTTGACCAATCAGTGCCGCTTGCCTATTGAGAATGTTACCAATGGAGTCCTAAGGTGAAAACGAACTCCTTTTGTCTACACAATAGCGGGTTTTCGTGCTTATGTAGATAGATTCAAAAACTGCTAGGTGGAAATTTATTAGCTGATGACGTATTCATACTAACCTTGAGTCATCAAAGGGACAAATTTTCATTGAGCGAATATCAATATCAACATGCGCCTTTGCGAAGAGAGTCACCTTGTGACCACTTGAGATGAAAGAGGCGTCCCACACAGATAAAACCTAAGAATGGCAACGGTGCAATTTTGTAATACATCAGGTCAACCCAACACTATTCAACTCAGTTCAATACAGAACAATACTTTTAAATAGCCAATAAATTTTATCATGTCATACCTTTTGTAATTGAAAATTTTGATAAAAAAACGAGAGGCCAAAAAAGTCGCCACTAAAATACGAAAAACTTTGGGAACAAAATGGCGAAAAATTAATCAAATTGAATGATGCAATGGGGCTCTGTTTGAAGTTACAATATTTTCCAACTTTTCTAACTTTGGAGAAGCCAATAGCACCAAACTCTAAATAGTTTAACATTGCATACTGACAGAATTCACACTTTTATAGCTGTAAAGAGATGCCTTGGAAAGTACTTTCTATCGTAAAAAGAGGCGGCATTTTTAGAGAAAAAGAATCAGGTCGGTCACATTAACGTTGGATATATTTCGAAAAGTCCTCGACTTAGTCACTCCATATTTCTCTATCATCATCAAAAGTAAGACGATGCAATTATACAGCGCTCGTTCTTGCTTGAAATTAAAGAGATACGTTATAATCTTATCTTTTTGGTGGATTACCATATAGATACAGAAAGACCATCTATCCTGAGGTCGACACTGGGCACCAAAGCCTCAGTGAAAGAGATGGTCGAACAGTGGTCGGATGCTCTGGCACCCATGATACCTGAGGCAAGACCTGGCAAGCCTTGGCGAAAAGAGACAGGAGAACCTTCAGAGGTACAGATATAGAGTGACAGGCCTAGGACAGAAAGAACGGAAATGAAGACAGGTAGGAGAAAGGACGGGAGCTTGTTAGAAGATAAGCGCTTTCAAGAACTTTCCATTGACACTTTCGTGAGGGATATGCGGTGAACATTACCGTCATACATTACCATCTGTCAAGTTCATGTTTATTTTTCTTTATTTCTAAAACAATTTTGCATTTATCATTATATAATCCAATCTTTTTACTGTCAATGCCAACGGTATGCATTTGTTTTGCACTTTTCACCCTTTTCCCATAAAAACAGTTGGGAAAGAATTGATAAGACACGATTAACAAGAGTGTCGCTTGGATTCTGAAATTGGACCTTAAATTGGACAAATTAAAAACTATAATTTTCAAATTGTTTCTAAATGATCTTTGCCTAAGCTTTGCAAGTATTTCATTTTTCTCCTTGCCCAACAATTATTTTGAAGTTAAAACTGAAGTGGCAATCATATCTCCAACTGCAGTACAACTTGCAAAAGCCTGGGAAGGAGCCGACCTTACAGGCAAGATAATCAATGTAATCGAGCGTATTGTACGTCGATGAAAAGTGACTAAAAATTAATATAATTAAATGCAGACTTTGTACAATTGAAAGCTAAAAATAATTTTGACGTTTCGAGCATAACTCTTCATGAGGTAAAAAGAATGGGAGGAGTAACGGTTAAATATAGAATAAAAATCTACAATAAGAGTAGAAACATCAATTACATACATAGAACCTGGAACTATCAATTACATAGATCAATTCAATTACATAAGAAAAGATCAATTACATAGAACCTGGTAGGAATATGGCGTAGAGCGTAAGGCGAGGTGGAAATATGTGAGGGACAGAAAGCGTATAGATAAGATAAGATGATAAAGTGTAAAATAATAACAGCTGAATTAGGAAAGATACGATAATTGTTTGTTATATCCATTAGGAAAAAGAGTACAAAGTTTAGAAATAATACGTTTTTCAAAGTCCATGACTTTTTATCAGCACAGGAGGTAAAAATAGATACCAATCCAGCAGATACTTAAGCAACCCTGTTCAGTGCCCTACCAGCCATGTACAATGACTTGCTTGACCAAATACCACACAGTTTAAGCCAAAATGACAGTAATGTCTGAAAACAAGTTATCATTACACTCTGTTTATCAGGATATTGTTTATACGATTATTCAGGATCAGAATCATCCAACTTTTAAGTATTATATAAGAATTTTGCTCAGTCCCAGCTCGCATATTTGTGTCTCATTTTTCAGCAGTTGACTTTTTTTCAAAAAGCTTTTATTCAAGAGCGGGTGTTGCTCCCTTAAAACCATATCAGATTTAAAAAAGAATGCTTTAAGAATATATTCAGGTTCAAAAAGAACATTTGTTAAGAATATCGAGCCTAGGAAAAATTTACAGTACTCATATAAAAAAGAGTGTATTAATTAAAATTAAGTTAAGACACACCTGTTTTCCATGATTATCAGAACCAGCCACGCATAATTTGCTTCCACTTTGTGATAAACTTAAGAGAAAAAACTAAAGTTTCGAACTAATGTACATAAAAGAACGAAAAAATGCATTTAGTTTATAAACAGATGTCAAATTATACGTGAAAAGTCGACAATGTTGAGCTAATAATTGTTAACAAATTTTTAGTGGTGCAAATTAAAAAATTGCTTTGAAAAAAACAAAAACTTTGAAACATGCTAGAGTTTTTGTTCCAACACTTTTTAGCGCATAAAAATCAGGACATAGACCGAAAACTATAAGCTAGGAAATATATATACCCAGTAACATATTATAATTCGATCCACAAATGAGTAAATGTATTCTCTAGCTCAAAGTTTACCTAAACTCCTGGCAAAAAATAGCTGAGACATATGAACGAAAAGGGAATTCGCGTGCTATATCTTCATATAACGGCGCTGGTGACCTAAACCCCCTTCCCCCGTGGTCAATGTTGTTTAGGATGGTTACAGAATAAGTGGGGATTACAACATAAGTTACCAATCCAATCACAACATTGATTCGGGGGGAAAGGGGGTGGGTGATTTGTAAGTAGCTCCTTTTTTTGCAAGTGTCTCAGCATTTTTTGCCAAGATTGTAGCCTAGCACTGATGTATTTCAAAATGTTTGCTTGCTTCAAAGCTATTCTTGAAATTCGATAAAACAAGATTCAGATAAATTCGATCTCTGATGTCATTTACTTCGAATACCCTGTTCAACGAAAATAAAGTTGGAATATAGCAGCGGTGTCCTTCAAAGTTGGGCGTGGCGGTAAATAAAAAGGGGTATAGGGTGCAGAAAATCTTTTTAGGAAGCTTCATTTTCGTAAAAATGGACAAAAGAGGTAGGACAATGCCCCCTCCGTGGCAACGCCTCTGGTTTATGTTATGACAAAGTTTGGAAGTGAATTGATCCCGAGGCATGGAACGGAAATTACGTGGCGAAAGAAGTAGGGTTTCTTTGGATACCAACAATTCATTTTAATGCAAAACATGTTAACTGCAAAGATCTTATGCAAACGTGCATTTTCTATTACGTAACTAAAAATTACAAACATTGTTTTTGGGGATAGAGAGCAGAAGTGGTAGATCATGAAAACAAACAAAAAATACGAAAAAGGGACACAATCTTTGAGTGTTGAAGGACTTGGACAGAAATTGTTCCTGTTTCATGGATTGACATCGGAGCCAGTATTTAAAACTTGCTCACCTTAGGCAATACGGGTCGTTCAGGTGTGATTGGAAAACAGCCAGGCATTTTTTGGCTTTGAACTTCCAAATTCGGATTACTGCATCCTCTCCGACTTGAGCAGAGGCAAGCAGCGTGCAGTTGCTATTGAATGCCAGCGAAGAAATCTTTCAGAGAAAAGAGAAATAAAAACAGATGTGGAAATGAACTTAAAGTCTGCAATTTGATTTGGCAGAACACTTCTTTCTAACCTGATTCTGAAAAATCCACTCTATACTTTCAAATTTATATGGGAAATAAATTTTTCTGATTAGGGGGCTTTCAAGATAACTGACGCGTTTTGTTTAGCAAAAAGGCTTCATAGAAGATCTGGAAGTAAAGGATAAACAAAAGACACAAGGACTTTGCTTTTCACTTGTTTTCATTATCTACCATTAGTTTCGATATTCATAGGACAATTTTCTTCATTGGATAGTCGTTTATTCAGTTTTACGTCAGCATCGATCAGTGTATAGAGTTTATTGCAATGATGTCTTATTTCCACGCCATTTCTTGAGAACATGCTATGTTGTGAAATTATATTCAGGGCATTCCGCACTTCGCTAATCGATGGTTTTTCCAGCACTGCATTGTGACGCTCATTAGCGTCTTTTTTCAGCTCCTGCTCGACTTCTGGAACGAACTCTGAAAGAATCTCATCGTCAGTTAAGATCGGGGCACTGGCTTGGACATTTTCATCAAAAGCCACATAATTTTCTCCCGTTATTCCTCCGGGTACAAGAGTAGGATTAATTGCCTTGAGTATTTCCAGATCGTAATCTAGATCCAGCAACGAGTCATCCTTGTTCTCTAATGCATCCTCTATTGCGTATGATGGTATCCCCGCCTTTTTGAAACAGTTTATCACAGTTGCCTTGGTAACCATATCCCACGCAGAGGTAAGCATACCCATTGCACTTAACAGAGATATCTCATGAACATCCTTCCTTAGTTCTAACGCAGTTACATACTTTTGCACCAACAGATGACGATATTTTGCCTTTAAATTGCCAATTATTCCTTGATCCATTGGCTGAATGCAAAATGCCGCGTTCGACGGCAGGAGTACTAAATTTATAGCTTTTAGGCCTTCGATTTCAGGGTGCGCGGGACAGTTTTCCACGAGCAGAGCTATTTTTCTCCCCTGAGTTTCAAAATATCTGTCTATTTCTTTAACCCACTCTTCAAACAGTTCACGATCAATCCAGCTCTTTTCCTGATCCCTAAAGCGGCATGGTAAATTTGCCACCTCGCCAAAGCAACCTGGCTTCTTTGCCTTTCCAACAACAAAAATCGGTAATTTATCCCCGACGGCATTTGCTGCTGCTAAACCAGTCAATCTGGCGTTACTAAGCTTTCCATCGGTGCATTTTTGTGCCTTATAATCCGAGCATCCGCTTGGAAGGCATTGGAAGAACAGGCCAAACTCTTTGGCATTGTAAATGTCTTGCGGACTGTATTGTGAGAGGGCCTCCACTGATGTTTCCTCCTTTAAGGGGAGAAAGGCCTGCGTGGCAAAAGATTTTCCGCTGTTGGCCAGTTCTTTCAGCCTTATGTTGTGCCTACAAGAAAAAGCGAATGCAAAATTCACGACAAAGTAATTAACCAAATACCATCAATTAAAAAAGACGAAGAAAGTCTGGGTATTTTTAGGCAATGTTTACATTACTCTATATTTCATGTGAGATTTATCGCATTTTTCCTATCAAAGATCTTTTTTACCTTTGTCTTACTGTCTACCCTCAAAACCATATAAACAAAAGGAAAAATAAAACAGATTATGATTTCTCAGAAAGACTGTTCATTATGGTCACTGAACTTGGAGTAATAGATGCCACCATGACTAATAACAAGATACCTCGTAAAAGAGCTATGAAATCACTTAGAAGATGAAATCTCGTTGGTTTCTACGACAAGAAACTGAAACTTGAGAAAAACGGTCAAAAAACAAGATGGTCTTATTTTCTGATTGTGATATAAACAGAAAGGCATTTTGAAGGCTGGCTGAATTCAAGGTAGATATCATTCCTTGGAGCATCTTAAACAGCATATGCCTGACGAAGAATTTGGCATATGGTTCGAGCTAGCTTTCATGTCACGAAACTTTCCAGCACATTCGCATCATCAGCATCTGCAGAATAAGGTTTCTTTGAAAATTAGATTTGTAGCAATGTCTTCGGAAATTCTATTTTTAGCCATGACTTCGAAAGTTAATCGCAATTTTCAAATAATTGGAATCAGATTAGTCATCGAATTTCTGCTTTGTCTGCATAAAAAGTTTCCTGCTTTAGCACTATACAGAAAAACCTGATTATAATTCTAAAAGTGGGGTTTTCGACGTTTTAAATGGAAATGACACTTGGAATGTTCGGCTAAAACTCTTGTTACCCCAAGCACTTGTTACCAGCCACAATGCTTGTGGTTCTGAAGATTCTTTTTAAGTTCTGAAGATTCTTTTCAACAAACTTGTTTATTTTGGTTTGAGAATATATTTGAACAGGGGAAAGATTCCTATGTACATTCTGCTGCTATTTTTACTGCTTTATTTGGATTTTTCACAAGACGTTTTAACCCCGTACGGAGTAATATTTACTTGAACACGGCTCGTATTACATTGCTCTTCAAACAAATTTTGAATAGATCGAGTGGAAAATATTGCTTAGAAGCTTTTATTAAGTTGAATAAGACGATAAATGAAGGGAAACCTGGTAAACCAAAGTCTACAAAAATTGCGGTCATAATAGATGAAAGCTAGATTGGAAGGCTAGAAAGTTTTTCAGGGGAGGGGCTGGGGGGTTGATATGCTAGAAACCAAGAGAAAGATGACCCATTGTTCGGTTTTAGTAAAGAGGAAGTAAATCTCGATGGGTTTCAAATGTACAATTTGGCAACCTGTTGAGGCGACAGTGGTCCCATTAACCCGTGGGAGGATGATAACTTTTCTGGATTCTGGTATAAACAAATTCCAGAAAATAAACTAATACATAAACATAATAGAGATTTTATCAAGCTTTCTATCGTCTCCAGATTTTTGCGAGGATGGCCCAGTGGTTAGGGTCGCGGACTTAAGGTCCATGGGTCTGGGGTTCGAGTCCCTAACATAACCAAGCATTCACTTAGAATTGCAGGCATTTGAAGTACCAGGTGCGGTCACATCGAGAGGAAGGTCCAGGACACTGCTCGATAAGCATAGCTTCTCACTGTCCTAAAAAAATACTTTCGGATGCTATGCTAGGTAGAAGCAAAAACACATTTTTATCGAAATGCTTATGAAATGGGGCAAAAATACCATCCAAGTGGCAAAACATACCAATATTATTTCTGTTATTGAGAAATCACACTATTCGGCTGAAGAAAATTATAACACTTCGTGGCCTAATTCCTTTCGTTTTGATCTTGACAACTGATACCTCGGATTTCTGATAACTCGAACGTTTTTCATTTCAAGTGACCGTTTGACTTAACGGTAGACAAAAAAATAATTTGAGTATGTGCACAAGCTAGTAAACAAATGGGTCTAAAACGGGAAAATAAAAATCACAAACTTACAAACCTGTTTTTCCATCTGTTGAGCCAACCGTAAGAAGCTTTAAAACCATCCACTCCAAGTTGTTTTGAATACTCCTTCGCCTTTCCCATTAGCAATGCTCCAGTAATTTGAAGGTCCCCGTCCCTCATATTCAAGAACCACTTTATGAGAGCCTTATCTAAGTCTTCAAATTCTCCATGTCTCATTTTCTTGCGCTCTGGGTTGCTTCCTTCATCCACAGCTCTTAGGATCTTTTCTTTATTTTTAACCCAGGTTGACAGTGTACTTCGCGGCACACAGTATTTTTCCGCAATAAATTTATTTGATGCTCCTTTATCAAGTTCGAGAAGGGCATTGTACTTTATGATTAAAGATCTGTTGCTTAGTTTTCTACCAGTAGCCATTTTGAAATGTTCAAGGGCCTTCATAAAAGCAATGAGGCGTGACATGTGGCGGACGTAGTTTGATTGGCTTTTGGTGGGATCTCCTTTGCGGGAATCCTCCCAGACGACGAACGTCGGTTCGAGAATGCTAGATTCGACTGTCATTCTTCTAAAACTTTACTTAACACCTTTCGAGAATAAAAAAACTATGGAAAGCAAATTTTGCTCTATATAACAGTTAGAGGCAGGTCAAAATTACAGAACTAAGCCGCGATAATGATCGTCAATTTCTAAGGGGCTTGGCAAATGAGATGCAACGCAAAGTTAGTCGATAGAGAAAAACTTGAGTTGCTTGATATGACAGGTAATTTCGATGGCGGTTTGGCAGCATTAATTTGAGAATAATTTTTTGGGGCTTTTTAAGAGTGCCCGCTCCTTATTTCAATTCCCTGTTTTATAGACGAGAAATTTGATATAAAAAATTGATATAAAAATTCGACATAAATTCGAAAATAATAGAATGCCATATAATTCGAAAAACTTGACATATAAATTCGAATTTCAATTGTTTATTACAATCCCCAGTTTGTATGTATTCATATATTTCTAAGGATAGGGGTGCTCAGGCTACTATCTTGGATCTAGAATGTGAGCAAAAATTACTTTTTTGGGTTCATCAAATTCTGAATTATATTTTTGGGTCTTGAATATGAGAAAAACTTAAAAAAATAAAGAAAAATTGCAAACTTTCTTTTTTAAAAAACCCAGCCTGGGCATTAATATCCTAAGTATCAATGAGCACAGCCCCTGGGTCATAATCACCTTCCACAATACTCGAAATTCATAGTTTCTCGACCCCCATCCAAATTCAATATCCCCCGTGTTTTAAATTTTGCCTTGACCATGACCCCTGTTTATGTGGCCCCTCTGGTGACTCCTGACATCAGTACCCCGAATGTTGACTCCCGACGACATTAATTTTAATATGTATGCATACTTGTTTTTTTTAGATATACGTTTAATCTAGAAGTTAATATTTTCAATTATACATATAAAATAGGTTACTAGGTTCTGGTGAGGAGCTGCACACCTTAAAGAATAAAAAAGGGAAAAAATAAAAAATTATATGAATTTGAAGCGGGATCTGTATTTAAAGGGGGTTTTGTGACAGCTGGGGGAGGTACTATCCAAATCATTAGAAATGAGGGGTGTCATCATAAAAAGGGTGGGATGGGGTAGAGGAAACGCACAAGCTACTGTACCTGGAGCTGCTATCTAGAATATGAAACTAGAGAGCCATATTATGGGCTGTTTGGACATTTTTTGCTGTCTCCGGTTGTTGTTGGGGCGGCAAATGGGGCTGAGGGCGGCAAATGGGGCAGAGGGCGGCGGCTACCTGTCTGTGGATTGGGGGTCCTGTCTGCTTGTTTCCTTGCACTTCTTTTATATATTTATATGTATGTGTATAGTGTATTTTTTCTTTTCTTAAGACACTGATGCTGAGCTTCTCTTTAGAAGGCACTCAGTAGAAGGCATTGGTAGATGTAGATGTTTCCACTAAATTTTTTTGCTTGCCCCACAGCTTCCATCATATTAACAATGGCTTTTACGTTTAGATTGTTTACTTATGTCCTTGCTATTAGCTTTCTTTTTAACTTAGCTGTAAACATGTTCTTAGACATGTTCTTTGTCCTCGTATGTCTATAGTATTTTGTGCCATGTAGGAAATCTGAATTGCTATAAACAAGGAAGGGCGAAATAGGGAAGCTGAAGGTAACCTGTTTATTAAGCATTGATTCATGGGAAAGAATCTTCCAAAGTGTATTTTTAACTTAACATATGCATATTTTCATTCATTCATAATCCATATGGTTATCACTTATCAGAACTCACTTTACCTCTTTGTTATGCCCAAGAAAAAAACTCTGTTTTCTTGATTTTGCATCCATAGAAACAATCACTGCATGGCAAGGGTATACCACATGACTCGAATCCTTTGTCCATAGTACCTGAAATTTTTAGGAACCGATCAAACGGGAAGTTAAAACATTATAAAGAGGTAAAGAAAAGTTTGGACAATAGATTCGAAGGGTTTGGGTTTGGAGCAGCAGTATTATGTGATTCTGATGATGGCGATGAAAACACTGTTGTTTTGATGTTGAATTACTCTGGTATATTCAAGCAAAATTTACTTATTTAAGTAGCATGTTTTATCGAGTTTTCTATCGTTTACAAATTTGTTATTGAAATATTCATGAATTGAACACAGCTGTAAATATCGACAATACCCAATCTGCAGAATTATGATGATGATGATATATATGATTGATATACTAATAATATATGTGGTTTTGATACGATATGATTAAGTTAAGAATCTTTTAAAGCAAGACAAAAATAGCTAAATTAGTACCCTTGGTATCAGAGCCTCGTAAATCCAGGGATATAGTATCGTAGACGGCAGCGGTGGCAAAGAATGAGTGGATGGGGAGGAGGGGAATGATCCAGTTCAATCAATGATTTATATTTCCAATCCTCGCTCAAATTATTTCTGTGACTAGTTTCTAACTATGCTTCTGATAATTAATAATGGAGACTCTGGTACCCAGGGTACTAAATCAAAATCAGCTAAGGACGGAAGGAGGCAGTTATACTACTATTAGATCTCACTTGTTTTAGCAACTTTCATAAGAATAGGAGAAATCTACAGAGGAATAAATCGTTTTTTAACTGGAATAGGGTGGCAGAAGCCGTGTTAGTGTTCTAAAGGTGAAATGAATCGTTAACAAGGCAACTGGAACTTATCTTACTGTTACTGGCTCATATTTGATGCAACTATGAATCGTGTGGGTGAAATACTTTTCTCGCAACATTGTTAGTAAGCCTAGCTGACTAAAAATCACAGGAAAACTCACATTTTTCATTGTGCCGCCTGCAACCCCAATCATCTTATCCAAAGCTAGTATTGGATCTGGCTGCAAGCTCTACAAAAGAGAAACACCTGGTGAGAGAAAATATCTCGCAACTGCTGTGTTCCAATCTGACCATTGATTTTTCTACCACTTCATTCTGTAGATTGTTTCTAAGACCACTTAAACGAAACTTTGCGTAACATTTTGGTTGCATATGACATTTAATATTACATTTGAAGTGAAATCGCTGTTTTGTTAACACAAGATTAAGTTCTCAAAGATTCTTCTAATTTTTCATTTGAGGCAGGTTCGAACGTGGCTCTAACCATGTTCTAACGTGGCTCAAATAATGAACTAAAATTGTGCAAAGTGCTAGATATGTATACATTATCTCATTGGATAATAAAATATGAAACTTTTTCAAGAAAACTGCAAAAGGTTCTTACTGGTAAGTGGTAAGTATCCAAGGTTGAAATGAAATTTAGAGCGCTTTAATTATCTTCTTTCAATTAATATATATATATGTCTTTATATAGTTTTGAGATGCAAAAAGTGGCGAAAATGTTTACTTCTAAAACGACATAGAAAGCAAATTTCATAATAACCAGCCAGTTTCGCATCACAAAACATTCATCCTCTTTTGCTTCATAAAAAAACACAGAACTTGAAACAAGGATCTCTTTTGCATCGCTCTAGATCTTAATTTTTTCCACAAAATCAAATACAAATAAAAAGTAATGAGTTTAATAACAACTAGATGTGTAGAAGGACTGCATACTTGTAAAGATGACTGGGACGGGTATCCAATATGGTCCGAAATTCTTTCTGTTCCTTCCTCTTTTGCTCTGTTCCTTGATTTTCCTTTCTTGATGATTAAAATAGCATAATATTTTCCATCATTGAAATTACGAATGAAAATAGGAGCAGATACATTTTTTCTTATAAAATTATTTTTAAAGATTCCAAAATTTTTACGATATATGTCACTTATAGATTCCCGGTTATGAACATCGCGAAACTGGCCTCTGAGAATTCTGAATTTTCTTATAAACAATATTCTTATAAAAAATAGTTGAAACAAAAACCTACAAAAATAGAAGAGTTATTAAAATGACCGAATGTCCTTTTGTATTACCGAAAATATTATTTGTCTAGCATCATGGAATGGACAAAAAATGAATTTTGATCAAATCGTTTCTTTTGAAAATGAAAGTGGCATTCAATTATGTTTAATCTTCGTATAAATAAGACGATATTACCGGTCATAATAAAACGTGATGTTGTTTCCAAAGTAATAAAAAGCTAGGTATTTTTCAGTTGCAAAAACCTATCTGTGTATTGGACAATTTTTCCATCATACTTGCAAGAATAGGTTTCTTTGGGATGTTAACATGATTATGGCTTGCCTATTGAAATCATGTTTAAGACAAAAAAAATGGCAGATAAATCATACTTCGATATTTCTTTCGTGTTCATGGCTGTGAAGTCGTTCGTTTTGACCAGCGAAGATATGGACAGCGTTTTGATCAGCAATCTCGTCCTCAAAAGTTTTGATGCCAAGTTCAGGCAAAGTGCCAGTAACAGGCTTCTGAGTGACAAATAACAGCATATGATCACGTTATACTCTTTCACAGGAACAAGCGATCACGCGATTCTGTTTCACAGGAGGCAAATTATCACGTGATAATATTTAACAGAAGTATGTGATCACGTGATGCTGTTTCCAAAGTCCAATGATTACTTGGTAGAAACTTAAAGACTCATTGCTAACAATGGGCCTTTGCGAGCGTGGCGACGATCCAAACAATGGCAGTAAACTTCTACGGATTAACCAAAATTGATTTCAGACTGTCTAAAAATGCATTATGGGATGCTGGCGTAGCGCAATGGCTCATTGTTAGCAATGAGTCTTTAAAGCAGGGTATCCATTGGTCGGATTCAAAAAGGTTTTTCCAGTGGATCTGTTCTTTTATATTCTTATAAAAATGCTAGTTCATTTATTTCAGAAATGAATAGCGTTGCTGGTATGAGCTGGCAATATCTAAAAACAAGGACTCGAATAACGAAACAATGGCGGCACAGCTAAAGTAGTATAATAGCTTTACAAACGTTGCCTGGATCTATTGCGCAACAAAACAGGTAAGTCTGTCTAATTAAGCCTGGGAACCAACATACACTTTTTATACAAGCACAGAGCGATTTCAACTTTGAAAAGCTTCTGCATATAACATACCAATTTTAAATCAAGATGTGCTTAAAAATAAAATCAAAAGGGACGTACCATTGATACCTTCTCAGCCACCAATCGGTCGACAAGTGCAACTCTTGATTTCACCGCCTGTTTTGAGTAGTTCTTCAAAGAAAAAAATTGAAACAATCTTAATAATTTTGCATGGGAAAACTTAAGAAAACACGATATTGCATATCCTTCCATGCCTTACCAACGTTAAAAGATCTCTAAATATCATTAACAGGTCAGATGAAGGTGGATCAATTTGACAAAGGTTGAATTTTTTTTCGCTTCAGCAAATATCTTAATGACCACGAGCAGATGTAACTATAAGAAATACCTTGGCGGAATATCTGCGACCAGCATCTCTGCTTATCTGCTGTGAAATATTGTCGATTGGTCCAGGGCTGATGGTACCAAGTGTACCTAAAGCATAATAAACTAGTATAAAAAACATGGAACAAACCAATTTTTTTAAATTAGTGCTGATTTACATTGTTTATCATATAAACTTTGCATATGAATTCCAGATCAAAATCCCAGATAAAGACGGACAAGAAAGAGAAACGTAAATAAAAAAAGGGTAAGGTAAAAGAAGCAAGGGAAAGAAAGAAAATATAATTAGACAGGGAAAGAAGATAACTGAAACGAAGAAGCAGCAAAATAACGACATAAAGAAAAAACAAGAGAAGGCAAAGAAAAAGAAAATTGCGAAGACGAATTCTTATTAAGCAAATAATTTGATTGTGAATTACTCCAGGTCTTTGTAAAACGAATAAATAAAATTACTTTTTCTTGCTTGCATTGGACTTCTCGCTTTTCCAGGGATGACGTCACGAAATGATTTGCTCCCATCTTCTGCAGGAAATTTTACATAGTCATATCTCTTTTTCCAGTCTTCAAAATTTTCGGAAGGAAAACTCATCTCTCTAGGCAGAGGTATGAAGCCTGTTTCTAAGAGACCTAAAATATAAAAGAAAAGAGAATCTATCTGAATTAACAAGACACTGCACAAGCTCTTTCCTAAATATAAGCCTTCAGCATTTCAAAATTCAAATTCTTTTGTAGGTGTAGCCTTGCGTAAATTATGCATTTTTTCTTTGGCTTCCTCTCAGTTTCTCAACATAATTGTAACAACATTAAATTGTTAGTAAATATGTAATACTAGTGTTTTGTATTGTCGCTTTGATTTAGCTGTTACCCATTTCCCTTACCAATGAATGGGCTGGGCACTGCTTATGTTGTTAGTAGGAAAACATGTGATCGCACGCTAGTTAGAGGGGTCGCACAAAACAAACTTGTAAACAGCTTGTTTTATTGAATAATGTCTTAGGAAATATAGTTTGTTAGTGCTCAAGAATCTAGACGAATATAACAACTAGAATTAAGTTCTGAATTATTTAGTAGAAGAATGAGTAAATATATGAAGCAGATGTGTTGGCTTTTGTGACAGAGATGCCATACTGGTGCATTTACCAGCCAAATTTTGTGTACTAGATTTTGGTTTCAATATCATTATTGCTAATTATTTTCAAGAAAGCTAAAAAATGAGAATATCCTTGCAAGAAGATGTGAATTGCTTCCACACCTCTGAACTAATTTTGAACAAAAAATTTAAACATTGTAAATTTATAAGATTGCAATGTATATTCATTACATTGTTATATTTGAATGAGATATATACTATATTCATACTTATAATGTTTATATGGCAGTATGATAATTGTAGGCTTCCAAGAAATTATGGAGAAAAAAGGTCCTAGAAATCAGTTAACTAACTAACTAAACTAGCTAGAGCAAAATGTCTGCGTGAAAATGATAAATGAAAGATGAAGAAAAAATAGACTAAAGTGCTACCTGTCTTTCTTGCAACTTTCATGGAAATTCCTGGCTGGTAGTTGGTGTCACTAGTGAAGACATTTTTAACCATCATATTGGCACATAAACGAAGTGATTTAAGGTATGCATATTTCCGGTTTAAGTACACTGACAACACATAGTGAAGATCCATGCAGAAAAGAGTCCATCTTGATGTAACTGGTGCAGTACCAACTTTTGCTGACAAAAATGGAAGAAAGAAAATCAAATATATTTATAGGTTATATGTTTCTTGGTTGGGAGATATTTTCCCACTTCTAGATATTCAGACCCTGTTTGCCCAATGCCATTTTCATAACATATCAGCTGTATCATAACAGATTGACCATGTTTGTTTAGGAAGATGTTTAGGATATGGTTTCACATATTATAGTTTAAACCAAGCATTTTAATTTGCAACGAAATCAAATTGGTAAGAAAAAGTTTAAGCAGCAGAACTGAAATGTTTCCAGTTAGCCAAACTCTCTCTCTGAAATGAAATGGAAATTGCATCATGTAAATTAAGAGAGAACTTTTACATGGGATTTTCCCAATGCAATAAAAGTTAGGATTAAAAACATTATAAACTTAGACTCAGTTCATGAAACTATAATAACAGTGGGTAAATCTCATCATTAACAATGCCACGATTACTACATCTCCATAAAAGCATATTGGAAAAGTCATGCACAAATTCAGCAAAAAATATCTGCAAATAAACAACTAGAAAAAACTGAACTTACAAGAAAGAGGCAATTTATGAGTTGTTGCCTCCTCAACTGAGCCTGGTGGTGGAGTTGAAATAAATGGAAACTGTAGCCAAGTTGATGTTGACTTGAATTCTTTAAATAGATTTGAAAATGAAATCCTCACAATAATTCCATCTTCAGTTGCGACATCCAGATGCACCACAAAATATTTTGTTACAATTGGTTTGAAAAGAAAATAAACATAGTGACCAGTTAGGCCAAGAGACTGTGAAGTTGTCTTTGGGAACTGAATATAGTTGCCAGCAGGAACAGAGCCAGAGATTCTGTATACAGTCCCTTTAAGTGTTTTGTCCTTAAAGAGAAGAAAACCACAGGTACCAAAAACACGCTATTGTAGAATCACTCATACTATCATTACATGGAGATGCTGTTACAATCAATTTATTGTATTTATCCATAAGCTCAAACATTTAAAGCAAAATATCACAGGGAAATTTATTACAAAGTAAAATAACACCTTCAAAACAAATAAAACAGGTATTGAGTAGGAAAGTGCAACATTTATGATGAAAAGTTATCTGAGAAAAACATTCATTGCAAGACGATAGAAGCCTGAAAATGTCTTATTCTTGTCAATAACAAATAGCACATATAATTCCAAAATTGTTGTTTAACACTAAAAATCAAGTAATTCAATGGTTGCATAATTAAACAACTAATAATGAAAGAAGAGCTAAACAAAAAAAGAGCTAAACAGTATATATTGTTGTTCTCAGTATCACTAGCACTTCAGAAGAAATTTCAAGAAAAATCCTCCACCATAATTTTCCCAGTCTTATATTGCCTTGATCTTTAAGGAATCTTTTAGACAGTCCTAAAGACTTCAACTTGTTAAGGTTATTTGAAACTGTAATTAAAGAAACTCTGCAAGATCTCTGCACAACTATTTTTACACAATGAATTTAGAAGCAGATACATTGATGTGTCAGCAGACAGATGACATACAAACAGTTAGCTGATAAAAAGTCAATTTTAAATACAAAATGATAGTCTGTTTTATTGCCTGATATTGTTGATTATATGATTAATGATACCTTCAGCTCTTTTAATATTTGGACCATTAACAGGAATCACAATTTCCAAGATAATTTCCATCACAATCCTCCCAGATTGGTAGTTTGTCCTAAATTTTTGTACATGGAAACCTTTAATCAATGGCTGATACAACTGATAGCTTGCCACAGCAACACCAACAGAAGAGATAATCACAACAAGATATTTGAACATCTTGTTCTTGCTGTTAGGAAAATCTATTATTCTCTCTTTGCTACGTAAATCATTCCCACAACGGGGTAAGGCTTAATATTAACATGGTGAAACCTATAGCTGAATTGTTTCTCTAAATTCTTAAGCAATTAGAAATTTTGAAAAAGAGTGCTTTCTCAGATGTGCCTGCAAATGTAATTTGATTGGCACTGTTTGCTTGTGGACTTTAGCAAGGCCTGAAAATTTGCTTCAGAATCTTATTTGTTTCGCACCAGTCCTGAGGTATCCAAATTACTCAATAAGCACAGATGTTTGTGTGTTATGTTGTTGATGATTTGCTTAACCATATAGAACTTACCATAATAGTTGAAACATCTCCTTCTTTGGAACACTTTTTCCATTCTGACACTTGGAAATGTTTGAAAATGTTCACATAAGGCTGTTGCCATACTGAAAGATAAGGTCCTTATATGAGATGAGAATTATCATTTTAAAAAATTGAAGCCAAACATTTTTAAAAAGCCGAACAACAACAAATTCAAAGTTATGAAACCAAATTTAATATAATGAGATTATTTTAATTAGGTTAGGTTACTATCATAAAATTGATCTTATTTCTTTATGTTGCATATGTTTGATAATTAATGTAATTTGCAAGAATTGAAAAATTCCAATAAAATTAGATAATTCTTTAAGTTTGGTTTCACAGTCATTTCTTTCCATTTTTTATATGGCAATCACAAAAAGGTACCCATCTGTGAATCAGTACAAAATTAGAAAAACAAATATTGTATCTTTTGTGTTATATGTTTAGTAAAACAAACAGTGAAAATCATGCTTGTCATTCATGAATGAAATAAATATGGAAATAGTTATCAAAAACTCGAGACAGTGGCAGTAAAATTCTGCTGCAAACAATAGCATTTCACTTGTGAAAGAAATCTTGGCTGCAATATATCATTTTCAAGTCAACTATAGTGTAGCTGAAAGCACAGACAAGATATCCTGCCTAGCAACAAAATTCATGAGCCCTTTATGGTACTGTGTCTTAAACTTGCATCATACCCTAGTATTACATATATAAGAAATGTTGTATCGCAACTGAGGGGAGACCTCAATATTTTTGTTGCATTGATGTTTAGCCGACAACTGCAAAATGTTCAGTCTAAGAAATTGGGGTGAGATGTGGTGCACAGCATACTTTATAGTCTGGCTAAGGGACTGTGGAAGCGAGGAGCTTTAGCTCTCCTCCCCCCAAATAACTTGCAAAATGTAACCATACCAAATTGCCTTGCTATTGGTTTTTAGCATGTTTAGTCCCCCCGCAAATGCTTGAACCCCCTCGATCTATAACATGCTTCGTGGTCCTTGGTCCGGCTTTAACATATTGCACATTTTATGCATTTAAATGTTTATATATACATTACATACAGAGCCTATAACGACTTTGCCGTATTTTATAACCACAACATATTATAACGACCATATAATCGTAAATCATCATTAGCATAAATCCAATTTCTCAAAAAGGATGTTTATATTCGTTTGCATTATCAAGTAATAATTTCAAAAATTAATGTTTTCAACGTATCATTTGTCATTTCGATTTTAAACATCGGCGGCCTAGCCATCTACAAGCAAGATTCTTGGAAGAAAAGCATAAATAAATGAGGCACTTCGTAAAGGGTCTTTATACAGAATGCACAATTGTAATACTTACATTTTCCAGACATTCTTAATTACAATTTTTCAAGCAATCAAACCAAATGCAAGGTTTTATCTTAATGGAAATGTCTAAGTTCCAGTTTTGCTTTGCGCGCCATTTTTCGCCTCCGAACAACAGGGGACTGAGAGAAATTTGAATAAGGGCATAAGAGGGGTACAGAAAGAACATTTCTAGCATGACCCCGTTGGAAATTTTGTGTTTTGCAAAATGAAGAAAATCAAAAAATTGTCTATCAAAAATTAACCGTATAACAGTACCATTTCGATAAAGGTAGCAGATACTACACTCTTTGTTCCCCAAAACATTGGTTGTAGTGTAGAACATTTTGTAATGGTTGTATGAGATTAACAGATGGGAAACCATTAAATCTCTGTATAATGTAAAATGTATAAAACGTATAAAAAGAGTGAGAGAGAAATGCTTTTGACACTATACAACACAGTACTTGTACTGATATTTGTCATTTACTGATGTAAGTCCCGGCTCTGGTAGCTTGGATCCTTGCTCTTCATTACCACTGAACATCAAACTTTAATTTTAAACCATATTTATTCTTAAAGTGGCCTGAGCCACAGACTAATTTCTAAGGGGGAAATCCGTTCAAATCAAATTACAGGATCCTGATCCTGTGTTTGATGAGCGCAAAGAACACGATTTCTGTTCTCACCAAGAGCACTGCCTTCGATGCGAGCACGGACCTTGTTTTTCATGAAATTTTCTTCACGAGGCAGATTCAGACGATAAACAGAACAATGTATTCACTATGACACAAAAATATTTAAATAGAATACGAATTAAAATTGAATTGATATATCAAAGATTATCCAAACAAGATCATTAAATAACCCAATTCACCAAAAATTATAAAAGCTATTAATATAATCCCTCCACTTACAAGTTTGAGTTACAAATCGTGAAACGCTTAGCTTAAGAATCTATTTAATTGAAATTTGTTAAGTATACAATTGATCGAGATTTATGCTAACATCTAAATGCCCAATAACACGACTATGTCAATTTTCAGTTTTATGATCAGGACAAAATGTTCAGTAACTATTTAAGTGGTTGATGCCGTATAGAGAGAGCTGTACAGGCTTTAGCCTGTGCTCCAGACCCCTAACTTGAAAGTAGAGGGTCGTATCCTCTTCTATCAAGTTAGGGGTCTGGAAAACAGGCTATACAGGCCTAGGCGTAGAAAAAAGTATTTACTATAAACAAAGCACAAATGTTTATCAGAATTGCATTATGAATACCGATTACCACGATATGTTAAAACTACATTTTCAAGAATGGTGATCAGCTTGTTAAATTTAGCATTCAATGAGAAATCTTAGTCTTAATCGTGGTTTATCTACTAGAAAAGATCTTCTCACTTGAGGCTACGAAAAGAGAAACCCCGTAAACAAAAAGATGTCTTAAATAACAAATTTTCCCATCAACAGTATCACTGCATTCTTTATCTCTCTTAAAAAGCAGGGATGCTACATCTAATAGACAAGCAGGGTCTTGAATTCTCTCGCGCACCCGGCATGCTTTGCGACTATAATTCCAAATACGGCCTATCATCGTACTGCATGAAAATATTAAACACAATCAATTTCACAAGACAGCTGCCGTTGAGCATGCCGGTTACGCAAGAGCCCTTAAAATCAATCAGTGCACAAGTACCCCTCATGAACATATCGCTTTTGCAGTTAAGAGGTTAACTTGCATTAGCCACTTGAATGTTAAATATCGAATTTTCTAAAAGCTACTGTCGCTGCGATTCTTTAATTGTGCTTGAGCTGATGATGGGTGCCAAATGTTCTGACTACCTCGCTGATTGTAACAGCCAAACCCATCCCACCGCCAACTACACCAAATATGATAAATGCAACATCCTTGGCAATAATCCATTTCGACAATTTCCCTCGCTGAAGAATTAAGTGAAAAAGGCAAGGAAGGATGTACGACAATAGTGAACTACCAACGGACCCCGTGATGGCCGCAATATAAGCAAATTGCGATCTGAATATGACAGCAACAGCAGCTGTTGACAAAACCAATACCATCCGCAATAGGTTGCTTGGCCAAGTAGGAATCTGCAAGTATAAAGAGATCTTGTGAAATTGTAATCAAAATATGAAATAAAACTGTTAGTTACAGGAAGGTATTGCCCTAGGGGGGGGGGGCACTTTTAAGACTTTCAGCAAGGATCTGACAACCTTCGAAGAAAAGAATAAAAATTGACAAAAGCCATTAGTGATATTTCAATTCGTAAAGTAAATCAAACTTGAAACGCGAGTGCAGATCTGCAATCTAATGCTGCCTTTTCATATGCAGGGAGGAATTTCCAGAGGAAATTTGTGTCCTTTATCTGTAGGCATTTATTAGTGAAAGCTATACCTGTGAAAAGGTCAACAAAGGGAAAAAATTTACTAAGAGGTGACGAACGGCACGATTTCAAACTTCAATTTATGCATTTCATTTATTAGAGACGATATAAACACCTAAACTACTTCAATATGCTTTTTGGGATAAATAAAGGTACTACAATAAACCATTCTTGATACCTGGGATAGATTAAATTGGAGAAAAATTGTAAGTTAAAAAAACATCCAAAATGCCAATGAAAATGAATACAGCAAAAGCAGGCCTATGTGACTAGCACTCGTTAGAGACACGCAACCAGTAGGATACATTTATGGTAGGTTTTCTCCAAGGAAGTCAATGCCTGGTATATCTATGAGAACTAGAGGGTTACCATTTTCATTACAAGTATATTCTTTACAATATTTTTGCACCATTACTTTAACCTGACTCTCAGGCTGTTGTAATGAAGAGTCAGGGTGGCCGGAGTGGCCATGGCCTCCCCACACGAAGCAAATGCTTTCAAAGCTGCAATAAAAGGTGAAAGAACCCATGGTCCCACATGTTAAACTTCGGGGCGTGGGCCTTGAGTTTTGGAACGAAGCAAATTTTGCAACCAACCACACCCTTCCTACACACCTCCACACCCCCATCCCCCAAAGAATTGGTTTACTTTTGACATAAAAAATACAAATGTCCTTACTTGAACAGGAGCATGGTCATATTCCTCGTCTTCGTCGTCCAAATTGTCACTGTTTGAAGAATCATCGTATCCACCGTTGACAGTGCTGCCTTTTCTGTACAACCGTCGACTACATCGGCTGTTTGGTCCAAAAATGATACCTTCGACGATCTGGATGACTGGGTAGATTTGGAGGGGGTAGGTGAAAAGTACACCAAAAAATAACAGGCAGCGCAGGGCAATAACAATTAAAGATCCCTCAAGGTTTTCAGTGACGATTTGGTTGGTCTCATCTCCGTAGCGTAGATAGCCTAGTGTTCCAAAAGAGCCAAGAATAGAAGACAAAAGAACAAGTGAAATATGTAGATAACAGGGATAACGTCCTCTGTTTTCAGCCATGCTGCCTTCAATAGGGATCACCTAAGAAAAAAAAGCGAGGGATAAATAGAAGCAGTGGCGGACACTTGGGGGGGGGGCGAAGGGGGCGACGGCCCCCAATACTTTAGAGGACAATGGTCTTTTGTTCGAAAACAATGGGAAATGTTACGTCATCTTATTAAAACAATAGGCTTGCCCCCCACCCAATATTTGACCAAGTGTTCGCCCCTGAATTGGAGTCGGGAAATGAACAATCAATAGACCTCTCAGTAATATCATACAAGGCATTCCTCAATCATACACTTCTTGCTTCAGAAAATATCAATACACTTCTGCAAGATGTCACATTTGTGAAAAAGCCTATGGAGTAGAACTCTGATCCCTATCAAGCTATTTCGATAGGAGTCAGATATAGATGAAGAATAACATGGGAGAAATTTGTTCACGCTTGCATGAATTATAATCAGTCTCTAACCAACAATTCAAAAACATAAAATGGCAGCTATCCCACCAGAGAATCACAAAGAAAAATTACAAAATGAAGAATGATCAACACAGAATTCATAACTCAATCTTAATCTTTTCTTAACTGTGGGAATTATTTGTTAAACTGTGTGAATCTCTTTTTAAAAGATTAGAAAAATTAAAACAGGCTCGATTTCATCTGTTAAATTTTGTGGTTTCTGTTGAATTGTAAAACATTAAACTTACAAAAATTTGAATACAACATGAATAAATTAGTTATCTTACCAAAATTAACATTATGAATAAACTGGTTATAAGAAAACAGTTTTGTGCATCATTATATCATGAAATTACTTGGTTCAAAATACTTCTATCAGAAAAAAACTTTATTGCAATTTTGACTTAATTACTCACTGTTCCAATTCCTTCAAATGCACCAGTAACTTGTCCAAAGAAGACTGGGAACTTCATCCAGTTAAACCAATTGATTGTTTCATGTGGTGATTCAAATCCTGAAAAAAACAGAATGACAGAATGCACAAAAAAAGTCAAAGATTCAAGATGAACCACCATTTGAAATAGAATGGCACAGCTTTGGGACAAAATCCAGACCATACCAAGGTATACAAAATTTTCTGACAAGGAGAGAAAACTTTGGCTAGTTAGACTTTCATAGGTATTATTGTCATTTTATTCAAAACCATACATATCAGCTAAAAGTTGATGAAAATGCAAAAACCTAAAGGAAACAGCAGCTATTGGTACAGCTATTGGAAACAGCAAAAAAGAAACATAGCATTGCATCTTAGAATTTTTTACCCCTCAATTTGACAAAATAAGTCTGAGCCTTTTTAAATATTTGGTTCTAATCCTAAATATTTAAATTCTCGTTCTAATTTTATTTGCACATTTCAGTAACTAATAAATCCATTGAAAAACATTCAAAATTATTTCAATTTTTTCAATCACATTCATTTCCAAACTGGCTTGAAGGCCAAATGCTGGACTATTTTTTTTTCAAATAATTCAAAAGAGAACAATTGTTTTTGCAAAATAACTTTTGACAGGTACGTACCTACAAGGATGTAAATTCCTGTAGCTAGAAATGCTCCTGTAATTGCTCCATTTGCTAATACACTAACAGGGCCAAGTTTACGCAAATTTCTGATGAAGGAAATTAAAATGAGTAACGGTGCAGGGACAGCCAAGAGCAATGCAAAGGTCATTGCTTTGTTCTGTTGGAGAGTTTTATGAGTGATTGGATTCTTCATTTTGATAATATGTTCTTTGATCTTTGAAACCTTTTCATGTATCGTTGTGAGGATTCTGCTCATGATGCCTTGGGTTGCATTTTCACTTTTTGTTTCATTAGTCAGCCATGAGGTAGCAGGAAATGATAAATTCAAAAGAGGGGTTGAAGTTGCTATGTAGTTACTCGAATCTGATGAATTCTTGCTGAAAACAGATTTTGATGAGTTGAATAATGTAGTATTGATACTTGTCAAAGCAGGAATATTTGAGTCCCCATCCATTGAACGCAAGTGCCTCAAGGCAGAATTGTGCAGCACTGACTTTGCAACATGGGCAGGCACTGATGTTGGTGGAGTTGCACTCAGTGAAGTGAAAATTGTTGAATTCGCTGGAATTGAATTGTTCACATTTGACCATCCAATTGACTGGTAATGTAAAAATTCATATACCACAGATCTTGTAGTGTTTCCAAGGAAAATAAAATACCCTACACAGAAACCAAACTGGGTAATCAGAATTGATGTGTTCACAAGAAATGTCCCAAGTCGTCCCATGGAAATCTTGCCGATCTGTCCAAAAGATAAAGTTCTGCCAAGGATTTTTTCTTGTCTTTCGATATGATTATCAACATAACCTTCTGCAACCATACGCTGACACATCTTCTTTATTACAAGCCTTTTACATTTCACAATCAAATGGCAGCAATGATCTGTGGCCAGTGCAATAAAAAGTATTCCCAACAATCCAAGCTATAAAATGATATTGGCAATATCAACAAAGGGAAACTTGAAAATTTGAAAAATTCATTTAAACAATATTTAAAGAGAAGACAATCAAAGATGGCCTAGGACAAAAACTTGAAGGGTAGTTCAACCTTTTAAACTCTTAAACAAGAGAGGTTTATATTCTTGAACTCTATAGGCAGAAAAGCAAAAAGGAAGATAAATGAAAGGTAACAGAATGGTATTAACTACCACCTTGCTGGAGGTAAGCTTAGCTGTTTAAAATATACTCACTAAATATCAATAAATATTGTGAAGCATCAGTAAAGCTTTCTCACAGAATCTTTTTAGCATGAGATAATGGTCTCCATGGAACTCAAGCGAAGTGTCAAAACAATTTCACTTTCCTATCTCAGTTCAATGCAGTGAAGTTTTAGATAAACCCTTATTAATCTTAGCAACAATTTTCTGAGTGATCAATAATGGTCTCAAGACAAAAAGCAGGTTCTCCAAGTCTGGCCAATTCTTAAATATACTTTTCCAATTTCCTTTATAGATATTAGTAGAATAGGTTAATTGAGAAAATTTCACTGGCAGAAATTGAAAAGCATTAAAAACCAAAGTTTCATAACAATATATCCAGATGTCAATAGAATACATACTGCAATTCCAGCATTTCTTATAGCAAATGGTAGTCCAATCAATGCTGAGCCAATGAATGCTTTAAAAACATTTGAAAAGTCTGTAAATTGTTGATGACATCTGCAATGTGATTAGAACATTTAAGATACAGTATCAACTTGTAGAAAATTAGCTTTGAATGATATAAACAACAACATATTAACAACAAACAAAAAAGGATAATTTCTTGAACAAGATTTAATGTTACTGATTCTAATTCTTTTAACACTAAACAATGGTTTGTTATGTACCAAATAACATGATTTTCATTCAGGCCATCCTATCCAGAGCAAATTCATTTCTTGTATTTCTATTCTTTTGAAGCAAATTTTTTCAAAGTTTATACTTGATAAGAAATATTACAGAAAAGGACAAAGATTGCACTGACTCCAGACAGGAAACTTTGTTTCTTGCGTGGGCAAGTTCACGCACCTGACTGCACAACTGCACACATGAAATCAGGCACTTTTAAGAAATTTGTTTTGTTAATAATGTGGAATGTATTCAAATAGGGACTTTGCACGGCCAAAATGCAAAAGTGCGTGGATGGAAAATTTGAATGCGCAGGCAATATATATTGCGGGCATGCAACAAAGTTTCCATTGCCAATTGCCAGTTTTGCCTTAACAAGTCCGAAGGGGCTAAACGATATCTGTGGGATAAAAATTCCCTTCAGGTGCAAGTGAGGTAAAATACATACTACCACAATTAAAATTAATTATTTATGTTGTTGACAGCAATAATTTGAGTTGATACGCATCAAAAGTCTATTCATATGACATTTATGCATTATTCATACGGCTGTTATCTGGTTTCATCTCTATTCCTGCTTAGTACAAATAAAATTTCACACCAGTTACCTATCAATAAATTAGTGGTCATAAAAACAAATATCTGCCTAATGTTACCAGGTAAAATGACCTATTAACCGAGGCGAGTCATATGAGCTGCCGTATGAGCTATTCGTGTCAGCTGTCAAAAACCTGAGGAGAACCGGGGACTTCACACCTCTAGTGAATCAAGTTTGGTTTAGAAGCCCTTTGGCCTAGTAGTTGCGGCACTTGGGCAAAAAACCGCATCTTCCGTTCCTTGAAAATATATTTTTTTATTGGAACTGTCACTTTCATACTTACGAGGCATTTGGTCTCTGAAGTAACGTATCTATATCGACTTCATCTTCGCTTTCTTCACTAGACACAAGCTTTTCTCTCTCGTCTTGATAATATCCCGACTTTGCGCCGTCCAGATACCGAAGTCCATCATTTTCGGCATAATTATGAGCCGAGGTTCTATTCTCAATACCCATTTTGTCACTGACTTACTTAGTTGTATTTAGTATAAAATAAGCAAATTCACAGTTATATAAAAATAATTATTCGCCTATTTTGCATGATAAAAAAATCTACAATGTAGCCAGTCCTTTGTAAACGTAATCACCAGAAACAAACTCGATAACAAATTTTGAGAATGACCTCGTACGCAGTTAGCCTCTATTTCAGTTAACTGTATGACGTTACGATGTCATGAACGCGATTGTACCTTGAACGGTTATGTCCCCAGTTCTTTGGAAAATTTTCCACACAAGGCAAAATTCTGAGCTGAGTTTCTTTGAATAAGGACAACAAACAGCGTTTAGGTTTTAGTGCCTTTATCCCCTAATCATTTTTGTTGACATAAGACAGACTATCTCTTTAATCAGGAAACTTTATGAATTTCATCACAATTTTTCAACTTTTCAATCCAATATCTTACAATGAAAAAATGTTTAGACAGGCACCGCCCACCTTTTTTCCCACCAAAAGACTGGAAAATTTTTGGAAAGTTTATTCTAATGCCATTTTGGAAAGTTTACGCGGACGGATCCTAAGAAGTAGTAGGCCTTTTTGACTGGGAACCCTTTTCTGCTCATTTTCTTGGAGTTTTATCTTATTTAAAGATACAGTATGTTGTATTTTCTAACTTGGTTAACTTAAGTTTAATCAGACTGTTTGTAAACAAAACGTAGAAGGAAGCAAGCTTTTTCCAAAAGGGATATTTTCCTCAATAAATTTTTGGCCTTTATCAGCCCCCCCCCCTTTAGACTGGTACATGGTGCCTGAGTTGAGACACTAATCACAATGACATCTCAATTGACATTGACACAAATAGCATTCAAATGGCAACGTACAGATGAAACATTGGATGCATGATATCATACAGTGGTACAGCTAGGATATGTGTTCGACTGAAACTGCACTGCTCTTTCGTCCAGTAAATATTCGGCAGTGGTGGTAGTGTATGCAAATTTTCCTTAATCGTATAGAACAAAGTAAGTTGAATACTCCGCCTTCGTGAATTAAAGGAATTTTAGCTACGCAAAATTGCCCCCCCCCCCACCGCAATTTGTCGATCCTATCAAACAGAGTTCCCCAACCTGGGACCCATAATTGGGACCATTATGGATATAAGGTCAGCTAGACCTTTTAATGGTAACCCCGCCACTTAAATTAGGGGTTTCTATATTTTTGTTCTTAATGTAAATTATTGTATTTTATTTCTTTAACTTTTATAACTTGTAAATACGGACGATATTGATGACGACAGAGCAAGGTATAGAAAGCAATTGCACAGCAACTTTAGAAGTAAATGCTAAATTGCCTCCCATTAATTTGTTGTCTTTCTCATTTGACCAAATGACTGTAAAATTTGAATTCTTAACTCGTGACATTATTTATTTTTGGCTCTGATTTTTTCAATATCATGATAATCAAGAGTTTAAAAAGGGTTCCTGCTCTGACGCTATCAATTTCGTGCTTCGTGTATGTGTGACTCAAAAACCGAAATGACAGCTATTTCCATAAACATTATACTTCCTCACCATCGAATATCTTTCTACATCTGTAATTTCTATATCCAAAAAAGTGTTTATTTGATTTTAATGCCATGTTCGTAAGTTTTTTTGTGTTTCATCATTTAAACTTTTGTTTGTTTTTGTCTGCAACAATTTCCTAAATTTTTTTATTATTAAAGTGAAATTGTAGAACTGCGCAGATTTTCCTTTAGAGTTGCACAGAAATATTTAGAACTCCACATTTTCCGTTGAAAACCTCGAGGCATCAACAGTCTCAAAATAGTGCAATCGATAGAATGGTTCGACATCCAAGAATGAAAAGATGAGAAAAAATGGATGTATAGTTTATTTCTATGAGTGCTCCGGGATTATTAAAGAGTCAATTTATGCGACCACGCCCTTTGGATTAGCTTAAAATACGTTTCAGAATACTTCTTGAAATCATTTTCCTGCTACTATCAGGCCCCATAGGCCTTGGCTAATTCCTTTTAAATTAAGCAATAAAAGGATTTATTGCACTGTTTTTTTCCTCTCTTTTTTCCTCTTGATTCTTTTCTATTTTTCTAAAAACATTATAGTGGAGGGAGTCAGTGTTGTAGAGCGAGGGGCGAGGGGGGGCTGAGCTCCTCTTGTTGATGCCGAAAATTGGCAAATCTCTACTTTTGCTATTGTTTTTCGCAAAATTTTGGGCAAGAACCCCCCTCGTTATTTTGATAGCACTACACCACTTGAGGGAGCCCCCAAGCCCCCCTTTAGCACTGCCCATGAAACTCCTTGTTTGTTTGGCTGGTCGAAGCCCTAACAATTTTCACCTATTGTTTGGTTCCCCAGATCATTTTAGCTTCTCTTGTCTTGACTTTTTTGGTTGAACAGAATAAACACGACCAGTGGTACTTCAAAAATATCCCGAAACCTCATCAGCTGGAGGAAGACGTAATCATGGACAGAAGACGTGGCTCAAAATCATTTTTAGTAGAGTTTTAAGATTTGCTAAAGTGAAAGGTTACTGCGAAACAGTAAAGGAAGAAAGAAAATTTTTTTCTGAGAAACGATGTTCCCTTGACGCAAACTATTATCAGCCTGTACCTAAGGAATTCGTATTGCGTGTTTGATTTGAGATGTCGTGTTGTTGTTGTTGATGTTAGTACACTGTTTCTGTATCTGATCATAAGACAACGAGGTACAAGATGTCGGACGAAGAGGAACAGGACATCGATGATGTATTGGAGGAAGATGAGGGAGAGCTAATTGACTGGCAGTTACCCCTATGTTTCATGAAAACACGTCATAAAGAAAGGATCGACGGGATCAAGTGTTTACCCCAGTCATGGCGAATGAAAGAACGAGTAAGATCCTAGCTTTCATGGTTTCCCCATTTTAAACCTTTTGCTATATTGGCCTACACCCTAAATCCATACGCCTTTCCACCAATGGCACATCATTTCCCTGATCCTTTGACCGACTTATATAATTTTGTGAATGTTATATGGTATAAACTTTCGATTGCTGGTAAAACATGCTGATAATTTTGAGACTGAGTCAAAACACCGGCCTTCATAATAATAAAGCAATGGCAATTACCCCCTTTTTTATAAGACTCATTTGGATGCAGATGATACCTTTTACAACTTACATTTTTCAATCCTTATTGTAGATGAAAACCGTTAGCGTTGCTTTGGTTTTATGTCTCAATATTGGAGTTGACCCGCCAGACGTTGTGAAAACAGATCCTTGTGCCAGACTGGAGTGTTGGATTGGTGAGTTCAGTTCACTCATTCAATTTGATTCGCAGTTTCATTTCTTATTTGCCATATTTACTTTACCACATGTTTGGAGTCACATGCCCGCAAGATAAGGAAGGTAAATTTAGGCCCCTCTTTCCCCCTTTTGAAAGGGGCATGGAGTTCGATCAGACAGAATGGTCCCATGCCATGCCCGGTTCCATGGTCAATTACGTTAGAACAAATGAATGGCTACCTGGAGACAAAAAGGATTTTTTGACTTACTGCCATAAATGATTCATTCTTACCTTCCATTAAAATTTTGCTCTATGCAATTCAGCCAACAAGAGTTGTCTAGCATCCTTGGTAATTATCAATAATGCTTTTGTGCGAAAGAGGACAGGAATTCAAAGAATTTTCTTATCAGAATCAAAATGAATGGCAGGATTATTATGCAAAAAGTTTATTTAAAAGCTTTTGAAAGCTGTGTGAAGAAGGTGGATTTAAAATCAGAGTAAGAAATAGGACATGGCAATACCCCTCTGGCAAACAAAAGTAATGATTTTAAGTTTATTGGTAGCAGATAAGAATTAAGTAGCTACATTATAGTGACTCATATATGGCTTAATATTAACCTATATAATTTTTGAAGATAAGACATCACTTGTTAGGTGCTGTCATTTTTGAATGCACAATTAACCAGATAACATTGTAAAATACATGAAGTAATAGGAAACCTTCTGTAAAAGAAAATCACCAAAAACAATAAGAAAGGACAGGGGACCTGTGGCTGGTGTCTGAGTATAAATTTCATATAATAACTTTACTGATTTTTATTTCTATTTATGGATATTATGTCAAGGTCTTTGTTGTCTTTTGACTATTTGTGAAGCCTCAAAATCTTTAAATCTCAAAATCAGAAAAAAGATATTTTCATTTGTCATAAACAAAAAAACCTATCACAGAGAAACTTAAACTGGCTGTGATTTAAATTGAGGATTTCAAACCTGTTGCTAGCACTAGATATCAAAGACACCTGTTAAACAGTAAGCTGTCTTTTGAATGATTGATATTTTATAACTATTATTTTTCATTGTTTCCAATTTTTTCTGGTTAAATATCCAGGCCTTCCTGGGATAGGCGTGCAGTCGTACTCGCACACACTGGTACATGCCTCCCCACACCAAGGAGTGCATTTAATCGCACACCTATTTTTGTAATCATTCGTTCGTTTTTTAACTAAAGCGCTGGAAACTAATAAGGTAACAAAACAACAAGAAATTGTTTTGTTTTTTATTTTGATGTGTTTTGCTGGTCTTCTCCACTGTACTGGGTCAATGTAATCATTTTGAAAAACTGTTGTGGCGACACTTGAATGCAATCAAACACGGAACAACTGACCATAGCATCGGGCTAGTTGTATTTCGGAAAATTTCATTCTTACAGCTAAGGCTGCAGAAACCATAATTATACGACAATTTGCAATCATCTTCTAGCCTAGTGCTCATAAAAATTAAGTTGCATTTTTGTCATAGACCTGTGTTAGCATCCACATATTTCTAAAATACCATTTATGGATGGCAAATTAAGTTGAATTTTTAAGCAAAAGATCGTCAGGCATCCATCTCATTCTAAGGAGCTGCAGTTTTCATGTGAAACCTCTGCTAATGGCCCTTTGCTGGAAAGCTCGCTTTATGTATGCTATTCGTTTTACGCCAGTGATTTAAGTATCCAGTTCCTACTGCCAGCTGGCTTAAAAATAGCCAATGCTAAACAACTGTCCCCAGACAAACTTTTGCAGCATGGCACATTTGTCCGACGAAGATGCCCTGCCTTGCTCTTCCACAAATTTTTCAATGTTGTATCGTTTTCACATGAAAACAAAAAAATTCGGAGAATGGCAGGTTGTGACAAAGGCATGATAATTTCTAAGGGTTACACTTGGAAACAACGATAGCGCTCTGGATTCAAAAAGAGGGAAATTTGTAGTAGAATTGTTCTGTTTCAAGCGTTTGCACTGAAACCTTTCGTGCCGTTTTCAATTCAGTGGCGGATCCAGCCAAAAATCTGACTACCGCTGGAATGAGATAGAGGGTTGACCACACCCTTTAGACCACACCCAATTCTTGGTCACGCACCCGGTTTTCTAAAATGATAATTGCTTTCTATAATTTATTATGTAGACTATTTTCAAGAGACAAGCGGTGCTTTACTGAAATTTCATGTATCCTTACAACAAGCTTGAGAAGAAATAAATAATCTTATTCACTATTCTGAGGATGGATACTCTAAAAAAAATTTACGGCATTTAAACGAGGAACACCATAGAATTAGGAAAAAAGATACATTTGGCAGAATTTGAAGTGTCGCCTAAAACTAGCATTTAGTCGGACAATTACTTATGAAAATCGACCTGTTGGAAATTACAAGTTTAAAAAGCTAGATAAAATTTGCAATTATTGAGAGCAACTTTTGCTAAACAAAGAATCATATTTTTGGCAAATATTGTTGGCCTGACTTTGAAGTTACAGTTTGCCCACTTGCAGAATATGTAGGCATCCCCCCATCTTTTTGTAACGTTTGAGCCGTGTTGAGCGGCAGTACCGCTCAGATGGGGGATCTGAGCGGTAGTCAACTCGGATGTTCATTGGTTTACACTAAAATTTGTATGCATCCCCCCAGGTTGGCAGTGATTTCTGACGAGTTGATTGGTTTAGGCAGGCTGACTACCGCTCAGTGCAGCTCGAATCCGCTCTACACCGACTCAACCCCCCTAGCTAGCAAGCCATGATTTCATCATCCCCCCATGCTAGCCTTCTATTTGCAAACATGTGGCTCGGTAATTGGCACGCAATTTCCATAGCGATAAGGATTAAAAAGTATTTCTGTCTCTGTGGAAATTCAGGCATGTTCCTAGGAAGAAAGGCTTGGTTTGCAGCGCGATCAAATATTTTCAATAATTAAATATGGTTTAATTAAAGTAGTAGGATAAACATGAAAATGATCCTTGTTTCTATAAATTTTTGACTAATCTGACTACCGCTCGAGCGGTAATGGGGGTAGTCTGGGTCCGCCACTGCAATTGGTGCCATTTTCAAAACTGTTTTCATATCCCTTTTGATGAGACACAATTAAAAGTTGGGGCCAAAATATTAACATTTTTCAAGGGTTTCATGAAGACTGCCACCAACCAGGAACTGCATCTAAAATAATTTCAGCATCAAATTTAGAAAAGATCCCTGGCAATATTCAGAAGTATTTTTATTGCCTTGCATCAGAGATTTTATTGCTAAGGTTGTGAGAAGACTGAAGAAATGACCTAAGAATGCAGGTTTTTAAGGCTCCATATACTATGTAATTAAACCTTCGTAGAAATAAGACAAAACACCAATAACACTCCATCACATGCCTAAAACAGTCTAGGGGTGCGAAATGCCACACTCATGCTAATTTATTCCCAGGAAGGCCTGTATAATATCAGACATGGCTGCTTTTCCAAAATATTTCTGATTTGTTCTTAAGCACTTAGATGTGAAGATAAAAGCTTAATTTTTTTGTTAACTATAAATCTCTTAAATATATACTAAGATTAAAGTTTTAATTTTTTTCAGATCCATTTTCTCTGAATTCTCAAAAAGCTTTAGAAACAATTGGAAATAGTTTACAGCAGCAATATGAAAGATGGCAACCCAGGGTTTGTATTAGAGTTTCAATATTTAAGTCTTAATTCCTTAGTTTTGAGTGCTAAATTCTCAATGATATGTGATAGACCATCATATGCAAGCTCAATCACTTGTTCAAAATGCTCAGATGCATATCCCTGAAGTTGAAGCGACCAGTAATTTATCCTCTATGATGCTAGGAAGCTGCATTGCTAAATAAAAAATTTGTCCCCTTGATTGATTGTTGACTCTTAAAACTTGTATACAGTCTTTGAACTTTTATAGGCCATGGGCCTGTATTTGGAATTTTAGGTTATTTGCATTCAAACTGGTTTAGAAATTCTATGTTCTAAAAATGTTTCTAAATTTTGACTCATGAGATTGGATTATGAATGTCTCTTTTGATTGCAGGCTAGATACAAGCTCAGCCTTGATCCTACAGTAGAAGATGTGAAGAAGCTTTGTACATCATTAAGGAGAAATGCAAAGGTATTATCAATTAATTAATCAATTCTAGGTTAAAAAAGAAGGAGACATGACCTATATGTAACTCAAGATTTGTATGCAATTGTTCATCATGTGTATTTGGTAAGATTCTGCTAATGTGTACAAGCGCAGGCATCATCAATTTGTGTATTTCTTAAATTTTTTACTGAATGCTGATGGATTTTAACTTTTTTCAAAAGGACAATGATGATTTCCTATGATTTAGAAATAAAGGCAGAATGGCGCCTTTGTCTGTGATGGATTTGTTTCCTAAATGTATTCCATTAAGAATCCAGTTGATTAGGTTCTATTTTGTGCTACTTTTAACAAAAACCAAACAATATATTTCAGTTTGCTTGTAGTGTTATGCTAGAGGATCGAATGATTGTTTAGATTTACTTGTAGATGTGGCCAGTAATATTTATAATTTTCTTTCTTCATGACAAGCTTTCTTCAGCTCTTTAAATTTTGCATAACAAGTACAGTAGACTCTGGTTATAGTTGCACCAAATGTTTTTGTGACAGTAAATGTAGTTTGACCGTGAACGGTGCTAAATTGAACAGTTTTAAATGTTCCAGTCTAAATTTTATGTGACTGACATTGAGCAGAGTGACCACACCATAAGAAGAGTTGATTGTATCATTTGATAAGGCAAATTTTGTTAATTGTTGATTAGGCCAAAGAAAACAGTATGCTGTGTATAGATCTAAAGATCTACTTTAAAATGAATTGGCATGTATTTAACAGGAAGCAAGCAATTGGTATGGCTACTGGACTTATTGCTGTGACATTTTGACACTCTCAGAACCTTCCTGAATTCAGACAATAGCTTGATCAATCCTAAGATACTGCTGTCACTTTGAATGCTCTTCTTTCAAGTAGCTGTTCCCAGTAGCTCAGCTTTAATTTTTCCATAGTATCATGAATTTTAAGAAAGCAATTGAATGTTGTAGTTGAAAGGTAAAGTAACATCCTACTATCCTTTGTAGGAAGAAAGGGTGTTGTTTCATTACAATGGTCATGGTGTTCCAAGGCCAACACAAAATGGTGAAATTTGGGTATTTAACAAGGTATGAAAAAACTTTCTATTTGCTAAATGGTGATTTTGTTGTAGTTTAAATTTACAGTTGCCCTAAAGACCACAGATTCGATTCTTGAGACTCATTCACTGCAACAGAATGTAGTGAAATTTCGAGTCATAGTTTAATTTAACTGCTTTGTGGCACCAGACTTTTCTTGCTTTTAAACAAAAATGGATTTGAATGTCTTTGAAATATGAAATTTAACATTGAATGGATTAATTTTAAATGTATATTCTTGCACTATATTTAACACATGTTTGTCAAGTAAAAATTGTTCAAACCTGTTTAATATGACAGAGAATCTAAGAACTTTGTGTTTCTAGAACTTTTCGAATGTGAATGAGTTTAAAAAATAACTGTACAATGATCAAAGCTAGAACTGAAGTTTTGGTATCTCCTTAAGGTTCATGTAAGTAATATCTGCAAATAAATTTTTTTCCATATGTAATTTCAAATTGATATTTTTGCAGTCATATACACAATATATCCCACTGTCGATATACGATCTCCAAACCTGGATGGGAAGCCCATCAATATATGTTTACGACTGCTCTAATGCAGGTTGGTTGAAAACCTTTTTCATTCTTTAGACGTATTTAACATTCTTTTGTGTATGGAACACTATGGTTCACAATTGTATGATGATTGCATTAAGCATGATACTTGAAGTTTCAACTCAGAACTGTCCTGTTCTATGCACCAAATTGTTCCATGACATTCAGGTAAAACAGTAATTTTCAAAAACATATACCAAAGATAAACGGTTTATCAACTGTTTTGCCTTATAAGATATCTGTTTGTTGTGATGTTCGTTGCCAACATTTGATATTATGCACTAAAGTTAATATAGTAAATATATATCAATATATTGACATATTATAAGAATTGTCAAAGCACAGAATACAATAAAGGAACAATCGAAGTTTTCCTTTGTTGATCATAATTCTATAAGTATCTTCTGCTCTGTCGATCTTTTTAAATTTTTTTCGCGACCCTCTGAACCAAATAGCTGTCATCTTGGACATCATCAAGATTATTTTTGCAATATTTAAAGTCTTTAAAACTCGCTTTTGATGCACTTTTTATAAATATCATTCATCTACCGTCCAATGATCTGCCCCAAATCATTACTTTCGCATAGAAATATGCTTTTCTATATGATTAAGATCAAGGCCCTTCATCATATGATAAAAAGTCCCGACGTTTTTGATTACAGTCTATCAGTAACCCTCATAATTGTCGATGTGGGTATTATGCCTATCTCTTAATTCCACTTATTTTGTATTTTCATTTTCAGGTCTGATTTTGGAATCATTCAAGCAGTTTGCTGCGCAAAGAGAGAAAGAATACGAGGTAGGTGTCTCCTTGTCTGAGTCTCGTCCACAAACCGGGTTTTTTCTGTTTATCGCGTTAGTGGTTGTAAGTAACTAGATTAGCTATCATCTCAGTTGTCTATTTATGTCCTGTTTTTAAACTGTTAAGATACCTTTTAAGAGATCTGCATAATGTAATTAAATTTTTACGTTCCAATTGCTAACTAAATGAAAACCTATGTAGCCCGCTGAAAGTATTGGTGAAAAGGTCTAGACTTCGTACGTAGACTTGTCAAATTTCGGTATTTTGTTAATTTTAAATAACCATAATGTGACGTAAAAAGTCATATTTGGCGTTCTTAAGTGTTTTCAACGCTAAAAGCAGAAATGTGTTTATTCAGATGTAGATGTAAACATGGTTTTTTGGCATTGTGTGCTTTGTAAGCAGCTAGGAGAATTTTGTGTATCAAAATCACGGCTTATTTGAACAGTCTTTAAAGGTGCATAAACGGAAATTACAGGCCGTAATTAAAAAAACTACGTAGTCATGTCTTAGATTATAGTAAAACATGGGATGCATCTTTTTGCATGTATGTGCTCAATTGAAAAGCTTATCACCTCAAGCAGTAATCTTTAAAAGGTTTGACAGTTTAGGACAGGGGCGCATCTATACTGTCGCGCGTGATGTATTATGTCAGATTACATGGTGTTTTAAGTATTACAGTTTTTTCATCTTTTCAAACCTCACCAATGCCTATGATATTTACAGAAAGAAAAATTGGGCTATTTGTTGTTTAACTGTTCAAAATATTATCACTCTACATATTGGCAGAACGTCAAAATAAAATCTGCTTCAAATACTAAATACAAGCAGGTGATTAATGATACACAGTCAAAGAACAAAGAATTTTTTGTTGACTTATCAGGGTACAAAATCAATTAATCTTACCTTCAATGTCTAACAGACAGAGTTATTAGGGATTTATCTGTATTTAAGGCGAAATCTTATCTAAACATATGTTATAACTTTCTTTACACATGTGTGATACACGTCATTTTGCAACTGATTTGCTTCCTTCATTGTTTTGCACAACTTTTGTTTTTCATGAGTAGTTTATGCCTCAACGAAACTTCATTTGGAAAATAGCAAGCCCCCCTGCAATATGGGCTTTTACTGTGAAGCATTCATCAGCTAACGTCGTACAGTGACGGGCAATTCAAAATAACAGAGATATAATTTCGTCCCTAGTTTTTTATGTGCTTAAAAGTTTTTATAGAGTAAGCCCACCGCGTGTAAATGATAGAAATTGTTACCCATACATACATCTATAATTTCTCTCGCAAAGAAGTCTATAGTTTGCAAAACAGGGTCACTCCCTACAAAGCACATTATGTTTTCAAAAAGTAAAATAGTAAAAAGGATTCCCAGGCATTGCCAAAACAATTAGCAAAGCACCTTAAGAAAATATCTAACAAGGACCTTTCAAAATTAGATATCAAATTTATTCAGTAATCAGGGGTAAAGCAGCCCTTTTTAAGTTATGTCAAGAAAAGGGGTTCTTTATTAACATCATAGACACGAGTGGGGGTTAACTTTGGGGCTCATTTTGCCCGCCGGAAGTAGCAAAATCTAAGCAGAGCCACCCCCACCGACCCATAATTGACAGTAATAATGGTCCCAATTGTGCCTACTGTGTGGAGTCTCACACTATCTAGTGTGTCCAGCTATGAAATCTTATTAGAACACATGCTTAGGAAACATCAATATTCAAAACATGATCATATAATACATTAATATAACACATAACATTTTGTTTGCAGCATTACCTTGGCCAAGGAACATCTATCCCGGCTCCTCCGCCTGTCAGGAACTGCATCCAGCTAGCTGCCTGTCAGTCAAACGAGTTGTTACCGATGCTGCCCCAATTGCCTGCGGACCTTTTTACAGCGTGCCTGACAACGCCAATCAAAGTTGGTCTAAGATGGTATGAGACAAAGCTATATTAGTTTGTATAAAGTAACCCTCTACTGCTCCATCTTAAGTTTGTATAGAATTCTGGAGGTCTGCTTTCCTAGGTGCAAAAGCATTGGTTCCTTTAAGTGTTTGAAAAAACTATCTACAAGTAGGCTTGAAATCAATTTTTGATTAGAGTAGGCTTGGAATTAGTTTAGTTTTGTTAGAAATGTTTTTAAGGTGTTAAAGGCAATAGACAGATGCTAAAATAGCTTTAACAATCTTTCAATCAGAATTGGCCAATCAACAAACTCATGACTGGCATTACGATTATTGATTGGTCAGTTTTGATTGACAGGTGGCTTAAGCCACTTTCGTATCTGTCGATTGCCTTTAATGTGACTGGTAAATTTTTTATAGGGTCATTTTCCGAGAAAATATTTGAGTGATTACTTAAGTATCATTTTTGTTGTTTAAGTTTTACATGAAACTGACTGACGAAAATAAACAGATGTAATCTATCTTGAGGCATAGGCACAATTCTAATTTCTTTCAGCAGTTCACCGATATTACATTTTCCTAGCTCTCCCATTCAGCTCATATAATCTTAATTGAAACTCGGGTTTGTAGTTTCCCACTGATATCTAGTTGTTTCCTGCAGAAATAGAACGTTACAACGACAACTTATTTCAAAAACGCACGATTATTTTTTTCAGGTTTGTTAGCCAAAGAAGTAGTGATCTAGTTCCAGGAATGACGTTAGAATTGATAGAAAAGTGAGTATTTATACCAATAATTGTTTTGCAATTTATTTTTAAAATGGTTTTGCAAAAACAAAGATGTTATTCATCCTTTTTGTATTTGGTACAACTTCCAGGATCTCAAAATCGAGTTGATATTGTAAGGGAGTCAGTAAACATGATCAGTAGGTATAAGGAGACCTGAAAGTTGAGGAAAAACTCAAGTATTTCGCCAGGTCCGTAAAATAGGTTTTCAAGATTTTGAAACAGCTATTGTTTTTCGGTATTCCAGATGTGTAATACTTTTCGGGCTATTTTGGCTCATATGCGAGACAAGAAACCTTAATGAAACCTAGTAATGAACTGATTGCTACCTTTTGAAGAAAAATTAATTGAAATATCGAGTCCTTTAACGTGCATAAAAGCCTTTATCCAAGAATTTTTAAAGCAACAGTTTTCATAACTTTTCATAACTCTGGACATAGAAGGTGACCTTTTGCAAAGATGGTGATTAAGTGATGAAATTTTCGGTGATGCTTTTGGAATCAAGATCATTCTTCAAGATTAGGGTTTTATTGCATTACCCTAAGGAATCCTTTGTTGTCTTGCAATTGTGAAATATTTGCTATGTTTTGTATAACATTTGCATTTTTCAGAATACCAGGACAATTGAATGACCGAAGAACGCCTCTAGGCGAGTTAAACTGGATATTCACAGCAGTCACTGATACAATAGCATGGAATACTTTGCCTAGAGGTAAGAACTTCTGCCTTTGGTGTTCTTTAAGAATTTAAGCTTCATTTTCTGTGACTTTTATTGTTATCTATCAATTGTCTCTGACATAAAGTTTGCTGCGAGGATGGCTCAGTTGTTAGTGGCGCTGACTACAGACCCAAGGGTCCGTGGTTCGAGTCCCTGGCATGACAAAACTTTCACAAAGAGCGAGGAGAATCGCCAGCTCTCTGTAATTCCAGGCGTAGGAATCACTAGGTATGGTCACATCGAGAGGAAAGACCAGGACACTGCTCGATAAGCATGAGCTTTTCAGTGTCCTAAAAACTACCTTCGGATGCTAGGTAGAAACAAATACAACAAACACATAAAGTTTCTGAAATATCAAGATGTATTTTTGCACGGACTATACTTTACTAGATATCTTAATCATTGTAAATAACTCATTGCTGTTAATAACTGTGACATCACTTAATGTAATCTTAAACAGCAAGATATTTACTACTTTAATCTTTTCTTATAAAATTATTTCAATTTTCGATCAAACTGGAGTAATGGTTTTATTGTTGTACAATATAATTAGCAGAGGCCTCTGAGAACATTTTAAACAATCAAGTTTCTATTTTTCACATTGGCTTTTCACTGTTCTTCACTCGTTTATACATTTATCATATCTATGTACATTTTCAGAAGTGTTCCAGAAGCTTTTTCGTCAAGATCTTCTCGTGGCCAGTTTGTTTCGAAACTTCCTCCTGGCTGAACGTGTGATGAGATCGTACAAATGCACGCCTTTGTCTAGTCCAAAACTACCTCCTACATATCATCACCATATGTGGTATGCTATTTTTGATACAATTTTTTGGATGTTTTAAGCTGTATTGGGTATTTAGGGCTATTTGAATACTGAATTGTTAGGTGAATTTGCAGTGTGTACATTGATATGAACGCTTTTGTGTGTACAGCAGGAGGTTTGGAGTTCTATGCTATATTTCAAATTGTGTAGAGCTCAAACTATATGGCATTAAGTATGATATAACGGACCGGTAAGCAGTAATCTTCATTACGCTGATATTCATAGACATTGTTTGCTGTTAATATTTTTTATACGTGGGAGCTAAACTTTTTGGGGGGAAAGCTAAAGCTAAAATTTTTCTTAATGTCCCGACAAAGTTTGAAAATTTCCGAAATTGTGCGATGATGTTGGTGTTTTGGAGAGAGTGTTGGTATGCCCCTCTCTCAAAGCCACTACCCCCTGTATTTGAATACCTAAATACTACGTCATCAATCTTCTTAGAATTTCAAAACAATTCCGCTGGAATCATCGTGTTTCAATCTAGTGTTCCCAGAATTTAATGTACTGATAATTTAGAAGCTTACCTAAATAAATCGAGGTTAAAGATTCCCTCCGTCCTTCTTTCCTTCTAACTATTCTAATTCCTGTTTATTTTAACAAGAAACCAAAGCCAATTTAGAATGTCACTGAAAAGTATATTTGCAAATTGGCAAACGCATAAAACCATATTCTTAATAATTTGGTCCATTGGCTCATTTCCAGTTTATTTGATAAATAGGATTATTAGAATCTCATTGAGATTTCAGAGAAAGTTTGAAAAACTGACGATCACCGGAGCGCTTATTTGATGCTAAATAATAATATTTTGAAATGAAAAATTTATGAGCGTAGTTGGGGAGTTATTTTTCAATCATTTTCTCCCAAGGCTTTAGTGATTTACGGTTGACTTCTAGCAGTATCCAATTAAAAAATTAGTTTGATTTTAGGAAAATCACTTTAGGCACAGCAATATGCATTGTGTTTGTTAACTTCAATAATTATTAGCCATAAAGACAGAATAATTACTTGTGTATTTTAAGACTTAAGTTCAGCTTTATTTTCTATTAAAATAAGCATTTTAATGTTGCTTTAAAGTTTGAGGCTCCGCTGATTTTAAATGATCTCTAATTTTCGACAGGCAAGCGTGGGATTTCGCTGTGGACCAATGTCTGACTCAGTTGCCTGTAATCACAAAGGATGAATCAAAATATCACGTGCGTATTCCTCTGAGAATTTTCTTTGCTTATTTCATTTAGTATTTGATGCTTTGAAATCCTCAAATGTCTTTAAGAAAGCTGATACCAATAATCGATAATCTCAAGGGAGGCTGATTTGATGAAAATGTGACACCGAGCTCCTCTCGTTATTCATTAGATGTCATTTTGATGTTGATGTGCCTTACAAGAAATACGCATAAAAGGGAATAGGATTAACAATGAAAATTGTATTCTGCTTAAATCAACTTCGTTGATATCTCGGATTCGAGCAATTTGTATCTTCACATTTGGCAAAAATGGATAACAGAATTGGAACCTTCGGGTTCAAATTAGTCTGTGCCAAAAATTTCAAATTGTTTGGGCCGTCAGGCTGCGAATTACCCCATTTTCAAAATTCAGCTTTTCCTATACATTTCAATGGAATTTGTTGCTGCAGTGAAAAAATTTCCGGTCATGTTCCGGCAATCTGCAAGTAGCAAGCTCCGGCCAATTCTAAAGAAATATCTAAATATTGGAAACAAAGTATCATGCGACCGAACGGTCCAAACATCATGAATTTATCAGTATAAACTAATTTAAAGATGAAGATTTCAATTCTGAAGTCCCTTTTCGAAAAAGATCCGTAAATAGCGAGATACAAAATTGATGACGTCAACTTGAATCCATCAATAGCAACGTTTGAATCCCATTGCTCTTTTTATTAATTGTTTGAATACTTCATAATGAAAATACACGACAGCGTTGATAATTTTGCTGATCTCCACCATATCTAGCCTACACCATACCCTACTTTTACAGTATGAGTCTTTATCTTTTACAGAATAGCTCATTTTTCTCCGAGCAACTGACAGCCTTCCAAGTGTGGCTTGCTATGGGTTGCGAGGAACGCGATCCTCCTGAGCAGCTACCGATAGTATTGCAAGTGAGTTACTTGTCAACATTGTTTTATATATGGACATTTCTTCAAACTGTGAGCTTTAGTAATGACAATTTAACTGAAGGGCAATGCAAAAAACGTTTCAAGCCGAAGGTAATACAAAATGCTTTAATCTCGCTACTCTCTAGTTCCTTATTGTAGGGGGGGGAGGGGGGGAGTAGACTCCATTTTTCAAAAATTGTGCATACCCATTTCCATTTATTAACACCCCCTCTAATTCTGATTTCATGCAAAGTTCCTATTTCAAAACCTCCCAATTTAAACATAATTTTGGAAAATCTAGGCATTTCAATCTATTATGACCCCCCCCCCCCCCCCATTTTAGGGTTTTTAAAAAGAATGCCGACCCCCCCTCCTTATTAGACCTCCCTACAATTAGGAACTTGAGAGTAATTAAAAGCGTGCAGAATCCTTGATGTCATGAGGTATTTGTCATGGTATCTTTTGCAGACATATCATTGAGAACATTATATTTGTTTTCAGTAATTCATTCATTTATCGTATGTATGTTGTTTTAACTTGGACATTTATTACACATATTTTCATAAGATGAGAGACTCTTTAATTCCTTACATTGTTTCAATCCTATGGTGGGGGATGGGGGGGGGGGGGGGTATAAATGTTTGAATTCTTTGAAAATCTTAAAGATAACAAGGTGATACTATTAAATTTCAGTATACGTTTTTTCGTTGTATTAATAGACATTGTTTTGTCAGCAATGTACATTTTAATTTTCTTTATTGAATACTATTCGGATTTCGGTATTTTACCTTTTATTTCCTTCCAGGTGCTGCTTAGTCCAGTTCATCGACTTAGAGCCCTTGATCTGTTAGGCAGATTTCTAGATCTTGGACCATGGGCAGTGAGTCTTGTAAGTATATACATCACATCTTTAGTTGTTTCCTGTCAATTGGCAAATAATTTTTGAAGTCAGTATCGTTATCAGTTTTAGCGCGTCTTTGAAAACGAGCCTGAAGTTCATTCACGAGTTGCATCAGGAGTAGCTCAATAGGCCAGCTTTTGTTTAGCAGTCAATCGTGCGATGGTTGTAAGTGAATAGTGATAATGCCAGTGTCGAGCATGCTCTTGCTCTTTGTTCAGCTCGTTGGTCTATGAGCTTGAGAATTGCGTCATTAACGTAGCTCTTCAATGTCCACGTTAACTGGCAACTCTTTCCCAGTTCTGTAAGCTGACCCAAGCTGTTTCAAGTCCTTACTTCAGGCGACTTTGAAACAGATGTGAAGTCTACCGGTAGGACAAGGCCCTTCTTGCAGTTCTTTATTGTTGCTTGTTAGAAAATCTTACAGTGTTAATACCATCATTTAATACCTGACGTTATAAGGTCATTTCATAATTGTTCTTTGTTTTCATCGCCAGGCTCTGTCTGTTGGCATTTTCCCGTACGTGTTGAAGTTACTTCAAGGGTCAAGCAGGGAAATTCGTCCTCTTATGGTTTTCATTTGGGCAAAGATACTGGCAGTTGACAGTGTAAGTTCTATGCACAAGAAAAAATAGGATTGATATCACCAAAGTATTTTTGAATATCCATTGGAAAGTCTCACATTATGCAATTCTTCAGTACTTTGGATTCCTCTTTGAAAACCCTAACCACAATGTCAGTTGCATTATGTAAGCATTGAAGTTTTTTTATCTTGAAATCGTAGACATGTCAAGCCGATCTAGTCAAAGATGGAGGACATAACTATTTTTTGTCTGTTCTTGCCGATCCTTACATGCCAGTGAGTTATCAGATTTCTTGTTGATGTTTAAGTCGTCTTTTTTATTCGCCATTAGTACTTCAATATTAGGAAAAAACTGCAGCTGTAAGGGTACTCCCACTAGAGATCTTCCTTGCATTTGGAAATATACACAATCTTGATAAAATTTTGCCCTTTTTGATATATGTTCAAAGAAGACCCCTTCTCGGAGAAATTTTTCCAGTTAACTTTCGTTTCCCCATTAATGTTACTGAAAAGTCTAACCCTTCAATTAAATCACTATATCTCTTGGTGGAACTTTAAAATTCCCGGAATTGTTTTGCTGGTTAGATTTTTAGGTGATTTTATTTTTTAATTCAAGCTGCTTGATTTGTCTCTAAGCTAGAACTTTGCGTCAAGGCTAGAACTTTGTCTCAAAGAATTTGTCTTAAGCAAACAGCTTCTTTGGTTTCAGATGTAGCGAAATTATTTGCTATTGGCAACTCTGTCGACAAAATTATTGTATTGGTAATTTAATGTTGTTTTTTTGTAGGCGGAGCATCGGACAATGGCAGCTTTTGTAATTGCAAGAATCATCCACGACTACCCTTCAGGACAGGTAATAATGCCTCAAAATACCTTAAACTGCATTCACACTGCTATTCTGTAGAAGAAAATAACTATTCTAGCCACGTCAACCTCTTTTTAGAAAACCTATTCCTAATGTTCATTCCCTGGGCTACACAGTTGTTAAGAATTTCTGGTCACTACTGTCTTTAACTTCGTTTTGTCCTGCTTTGAACAGTTATTTCTTCGAAACTTTCCAAAAAAGCTTCCCACATGTCTCCAAAGATGTTATATGAATAAATGCATGAATCTACTTTGTTTATTATTGTCACTTCATTTCCGGGTACTCTCTGCCTTTCAGGATAGCTGCTGCAAGGGAAACATGATTGCACTTTGCCTAGAACAACTCAATGATCCTCATCCCATGTTACGCCAGTGGCTTGCCATTTGTTTGGGCTTGATATGGACTAATTATGACGCGGCAAGGTGGTGTGGAGTCAGAGACAGTGCGCCGGAAAAGTTAACCAAACTTCTAACTGACCCATTACCAGAGGTTCGTGCCACAGCGAATAATTTAATCTCTTCACTGAAAATATCGGGTTCGTCGGCGTATACAAGAAGGTGCAATTCAAAGACATACCCAGTTTGTAAATTCTAGAGGCAGCAATAATAATCCGTTAGTTATAATGTAATTTTTTAAAATAACTGTCAGTAAAATATTTGATATAAACTATATTCCAGATTGCGTTGTCTATTCTGACTTAACAGTGCTCGATGTACAAAAGTACAGAGCAATAGATGATAGGCTGGAAATGAGACATGTTCTCTGTTACACCGAGTTTCGTGCTTGCGCACCCATCATCAGACAGACTAGTCTGTCTGATGAGTGCGCAAGCATGATAAGTACTATATATACATATTCAATGTATTAATATACTTTTAAAGGTTCGAGCGTCTGCAGTTTTTGCACTGGGAAGATTGATAGCCAACACTGGTGATAGGTCAGACCATGCTAATATGGTAGATCATGGAACAGCAACCACATTAGCGTCAGTTGTAGGCCAAGATGGAAGTCCTTTGGTTAGAAAGGTAACTTTTCATTTGTTCTTCATTCTTTTTAATCGTCGCTTCTTTGTTTCTTTGCTAAATTTGTTTTTCTGTTAGAGTGGGGGAAGGGGGCAACGTTCAAGCACTGTCTTTGTTTTTTTAGTTTTTCAACTCATACTTAATATTCTATACATTGTTTACCAATGGGATGACTTGCATACTCCGTAAATCTATGAATACCGTATTATTACTAGTCTTTTGGGGAAAACGGTTCGAGTTATGAATTAAACTACAAAAAATATAAATTGGCCTTTCTAGAACTGCCTTTCAGCCGAATCTGATTTTCATTCCTGTAACACTTTTGCACACTGACTTCAACAGGAGCTAGTCGTTGCTTTTCATGGACAAATCATTCAGTTTGAAAATAACTTCGGAGCAGTTGCTATACAATTCCTGGAAGAGGACAAGAAAAGAGAGCTCTTGGGAAGTCAGCGAGATTCAAACAACAAAGGCTGGATTTTGGTTGGTCAAGGCTCATCATCAAAGGAAGCATTTATGGCTAGCACGGATAGTCATACCCTTAAAAGGCATCCGGGACAAACTCACTCTAGCCAGTCCAATTTATTAAGCAGTGGGAACTTTGGGCAGTCGGGACAGCAAGGTCAAGGTACCGCTCTATCAGCTATCTTTCACTCTCTATCAAACGTTATGTTTTGCTCAAGGTGTTCAATGAGATAAAGGATTACAAGTAGATGATCCATTGAGCTTTTATGATTATCAACGTCAAAATTGTGATATAAGCACAAAAAATGCCCTTCTTCAGTCAGGCTTATTATGCGAATGTGGTGCGTAGGGGTGTCGTGGGTGGGGGCAGATCTCGCTCCTAAATTCTTGACTGGCTCTTCGATGTCAGTCAAACATAATTTATGATGCTAAAACGTATTACAAAATGCCACGTAAAGTTCTTTGTTGGCAAGCGTCTACAATTCTCGGTATTAGCATTTCTGTGTGATTGTTGGCAAAACATTTTTAATCCTAACCTGTAATTTTAGCCCTACCAGATACACACTCAAGAATAATATGTAGAGCATATTTTTGAATTTGTGCACATGTATTCAACCTAACAAATCAGATGTTTAACATTTTCGTAAATAATTTTAATCTTGTCAGTAAAAGATGAAACTTTCAGTTATAGAAAAGGTACAATATAAGTCGGTGAGCTGATTACCCTGTCCTCGAAACTAGTAACCTATTAAGACTGCTTAGGCCTAGAATTGTTATAGCAAATAATAATGAAAATGTGAAAGAGAGGGAAGAGGATCACCTTCAATTTCAACATTATACCGCTTTGAAGTTGAATAGAGTTCTAAAGTGATGACGTCACAAAAATCTATTTTTAGAATTTTTTAATTTGGATCCCATAACCTGAAAGAGTATCATGAAACACCTTTAAATTTGCAAAATCATGCAAGTGTATTACGAAATGGCAGAGATATGGCCACATGTTTATTGGTTCTAGTTCTCTCCCCATCAAACCTCTGTATTTTCGTCTCTGTTTATGAACAGAGCCAAAATAACAGTGATTCGTTAGCAAACTTCAAATCTTTTATTAGCCATATCTCAACCGATTTTAGACATATTTGGCCAATTTTGCGTATTTGAAAGTATTTGATGGTGATCTTTTACGCTATGTGGTTAAAATTCAAAAATTCTAAAAATAAGTTTTTGATGACGTCACACTTTAGAACTCTTTTAACCTTTCCTTTTAACCCAACATGCAACAGATATGCACAGATGGCCTAGTTTCGAGATGGCCTATTGCCGAGATCTCGAATGCTCTATTTTATTGCTGTTTGTTGCTTTCAGATTATCATGTAATCACAATCAATATTATTGTTTTCTAGCTAAAGGATTGATGAGCTACAATAGCACAAACAGTTTGGCATCATTGGACAGCCAATCAAACGAGATTTGGATCAAAGGACCAATCAGAAGAGCTTCGTCAACTATGTCATTTTCATCTCTTCACGAAAATGTGTATACTAGAGTATGGAAGGTAATTGGCCATTTTGCCCTTAAAATATTTTTACCGGGATATTGAAAATGGGAAATTCTATTAAGGGGAAATTCTTAGAGGCCGTCATAGATCTAAAGGTGAGGTCTACTACCACTATCAGTGAATCAATGTTTTTGGCAGAATGAACGTCGATAACATCATCTTTTCTTTAGTCTTTTTTGATTGACACGTAGACAACAGCCAATAGACAAGGACATTTTATTTTACAGGCTCGAAAATTCTGGTCAAGTGCTGCTATGAGATTTTAAGACTATGACAATGAACAAATTGTAGCTAGAAATATATCTGACATTTCACGGATTCGCTTGTTAAATGGACTTATCATGTAATCACTTTTTCTATTTTGTTTTAATTTTTTAATCTAAAGATGTCTGAACAAAGGTCTTTTTTCTTTGGAAATGCATTCTCCATTTCAGTGCCATTTAAAAGTTTTTTTCCTTAAGTACTTTTTTACGTCTTTTATTTTCTTTGTCATCCGAATTTGCTTGTGAATAATAGATTTAGCTTCTTTTCTTTTTTGCTTCAGACGATGTTGAATCTGTCGGTTGATCCATGCCCTGATGTTGCAATGATGGCGCAAAAAGTCGTGAACAATATAACCGTGAAGGTAATTAGCTGGACACGATTGTAAATACATTTGATCCTGCTGGGCCATCGGAGTCTCCTTGTAACCCCCAGTTACAAAATGCTTTTTAAAAAATGAACTGTTTCCGGTGAAAAGGCCGATACTGCACCACCTTTCCCAAACTGTGCCAAAGCGTATAGTGACTGCAATTTTAGGATCATTGGTCAAGCAAGGTCGTCTTTTCATTTAGGCGTTTTGGAATCTGTTTACATCAAAGCAAAGGGTCCTGACCTGTGAGTTTGTTTTCACCATTGGACTCTTCAATTAGGTGAGAGGCTAGCAGTCGCTGCTTGGTCAAAAATAAGGAACCGATCAATTGCGTCTGTCTTCCTCTCAACTTACTGTCGATCCACACCTTGATTTTCGGTCACTGTCCAACGTTTATACTCTGAAGAGTGTCGAACGAAAAGTACTTGCTATGTGTTTTGTTTCCACTGATTCGTGCCATCTTGAAATTTTGCGATAGCGAAAACTTGTTTGGATTTATTGGAGTTTTTGTAATTTACATCAGATTAGTAGTAATTAATTACTCTTGATCATTTTTCGTTTCACCTTCAATAATTGCTAAATGACGATTGCCTCATTTTAGGCCACAATGTCAGCCAAAGGACTGCAGCTGCCTTTTCGGTCGCAGCCCTCCTCCCCAGTCACTGATCCTCATTATCTCCACAAGAAGTAAGATATTTTCAGTTAACATTAAATTATTTTCAAGTACATACCTATCGGTAATATCTGTCATTTTTCTTGTATTTTTCCTTGGATTTGGAAACTATGGCAAAAATATTCTATCTTGGATATTATAGTTGAAGGTGCAACAACCATTTAAAGAAGCTAATATATTATGGAATCAGTATGTTTGGCAATACTTGAATCCCATGGCTGAAAGGCAGCCATCAAACTGTGAAACTGGCAGATATAATTTAAATTCTTATTTCTCATATAAGATGTTTTCAGAAGTCTCCGAGGTTAATAGATTTAACAGTTTCACATGTTAAAATCACTGGTACTTGCGTCATGCTTTTAAACGGTAGTTTTTCAAGCTTATCTTCTTTGATTTTTTAAAATAGGCCCTCAACCCACTCAGCAGTGATGGATCGAGAATACGGTACACCGAAATCGAAAAGCTTTTACATCCAACCTTCAACACCGGATAATCGTCGGCAGTCACGTGGTATGGGGTCCCCGCCCCATACTCCGCATACGTTAGAATTTTCAACGAAAAGGAGGATGTTCGACAAAGGCCCAGATGTTGCTGTATGTGACATTTATTTTCCCGTTTGAATTGTTTTCATCATTGCTGGCTTGAAAATCTTATCAATAATCAACTTTAATCGTTTTTAATCATAATCTTCAATAAAAATCAGTCATCATCATTATCACTGTTACTTATCATCACCACCATCAATCATGATTCTAATCAGTCAATCAATAAATCAATGAATCATTACAGCCAATCGATCAGTTAGTCAAACGCCAATATTTGTGGGGAAACATTTACAGGATATTTTATGTTGCCAATTTTATTCTGTCCCTTTTTGAAAAATTTGTTTTCATTGCACTCGGATTTATTACTATCGTCTTTTTTCTCTTCATATCTTGTCGATTAAACAAGTTTCGTTATTACCACAGCAAGCAGTAGCTCCTGATATGGACTCAGACGGAGAGGAAGACGAAGGAATTTCGCCAAAGCCTTCACTTGTGTCAACAAGATTATACGAATGGTTTTGCAGTTACTTCGCACAGTCAGTAATGAAGGTAACCAAGACCATTTTGTTATGTTTAGTTTATGTTTAGAGCTTATTTTTCAGAACTAAACAACCTATGTACCTTGCTAATAATTTTGAAATATTAAGTATATGGAGTAGTGTTTGCTGTTGCTTTAACAAACTGTTTTCCCTGCATTTTTTCTTGCTGCTTAAAGACCGTTAAGTTTTGAGTCATGTAAACTACTGTGACGTATAACCACGCAAGGTGCATGAATATACCAAACCCAGAACTCTTAGATGGCCTCCTAAATATGCCTTACACTAATGTTATAACTTTTTGTAGCCTCTAGATGATTTAGACCAAAATAGCAGCCAACACATACAGAGAGAGTGGAGGTTTCTTAGGAACACACGAGTGAGGCAAGAGTCCTCTAGATACTTTCATTGTAAGTCATTTTTTACAAGTTGATCTTTCGATTTATGTCTTAAGTATTGTGTCCTCGTACTGGTATTGATGATTGGAAGCTAAGCCAGTTTTTTCAAAATTTCCTTCTCAAGTGTGCATTAATAAGGTTGTTTCTTGTGATGCAGTAGTTCTCCATTGTAGTTTGATTCCGAAACATTCTCCACGCATCAGTACTTAAGTATTGTCCATCACAGCCTCTAGTCGAGTTTGAAAATTATATGTATATATCATTACGAACAAAGTTTTGTTTCTTTATTTCAAAAACAATATGATGCAGGCTCGTACAACCTCTCCACACTGTCAAAAATTGCAGTCGAAGAGCCTTTACAATCCCTTTCAAAAGTCTCGTTGCACAGAAGCTACATAACAAGAATTTAGCGATTGTTTGCAGGCATTGTAAGCTCAACCTTGGGATCGTCCTCGCTTCAATGTCCCATTTGGTCGTCGTTTATCAAAACTAAAGCAGATAATTGCAGTGGAAACGATAGCAAATAATTTTTTAAACACAGCTGTTTTTTAACAATTTGTCCATTCATTTATGTTAATTGCAAAGTAATAAATAATTCTTGTTTTGTTTTGCAGCTGTCAGCAAGCTTGATGACCAAATCTTTATCAATAAAAATGTGCAGCCGCCGACATTCATTAGGTTCCATCCTTATGAACCGCACTTCGTCGCAACTGACAGGGGTGGAGTAAGGTACACTGATTAATAAAATATCAGCTCTAGTCTTATCAGCTCAAGTTCTAAAAAAACCTGATTTTTCTGTTAGATCTTAAGAAAAGGGCAATGATTGGACAGCGAAACTAGCGAATCCGGATAGGATAATTCTATTGACCTCGTGTCATACAAATCGAAGAGTTTTTGACCGTAATAACTAATCAAAGGTCAGGGAATGCTCTCCTGCGAATATGACATCCAGTAAAACATGTTCCCTATCCGGATTCACTTTGTCCGCCGATGGGTCTTTGATAAGGGTTTTCATATGTTTGTGTGTAGACCAGGAAGTTTTTAAGTTACAACTTCGAGTTCCAGGCACGGCAGTTACTTGTTATATTTTTTACATGTCAGTTTCTAAAACCTACCTTTGAGTAAACATGTGTCCTACTTGGTATTTGCACACTTCTATACCTATCGCACATCATTCCTTGATTTTTAAGTTTGTTCTTCGCGACGGTTTATTAGCCTAAGTACTTGATGTTGATTTTTGTTTTTGTAGTATTTGGAATTATGAATCCGGCGTTCGAATGAACTACTTTGATAATGGAAATCCGAAAACTTCCAGGATAACCTCATTAGATATTCTTAATGCTCACGATCTGTCATTATTGCTGACAGCATCAGGTAAGGTGTTTGGAATCGATATTTTCTATCAGTGCATTGTTAAAATGCTATTTCAAAAATTTGCCTTACCAGTCCTGTTAAGGCTAGGATAGATCGGATCCAGTCCGGATTCAATTTGGCATCGGTAACGATTTGTACAGTTGTTTTTCCTGTATCGGATCAATTTGGAATCCTGCTAACACCAGAACAAATAGACTAATTACCTCTCCTCATGACCATTAGACTAATTACCTCTCCTCATGACTGTTAGACTAATTCCCTCTCCTCGTGACTAAAGTATAAATAGATACAAAGTATGAATTTATTGTTCAAATAACAGTTTTGTGTTAGATCTCATCAAAACTCAGCAATCGACACTGCTCTAATTGATATCCTATTCATAAATTATCCTCTGAATGGAATCTTTGTAATCTTTTTGCTTTCGGTCAATACGTCTTTGAAACCACACCCACTCTTTCCCTTTACATCGTGCTTGTATGAGAATAGGTCTGCTGAAAAAAAAGGAGATCGCGGGCCCAACTGAATGCAAATCCATCGAATCCAGTATAACGTCTGTTTACACTGGTTAAAGTATTGTCACGATTGAACCCGGTCTTGTGTTTCCATTTCGTCTGTTTTTTGGGAAATTGATTGTTTCTCAAATGTCACCTCTTTAGATAACTCGATTCCCTAACCCGTATTTCAAAGGAAAGTTTTAGTTTCAATATTTGCTTTCCTACTGCAAACAAAGACCAGTTAACTTCAAATTATTGACCCAGTTTTAGTAAAATAGTTTTTTAGCGCAGGTGTAAAGACTGCTTTTGAACAAAAATTACTTGAATTAAAATAACAAATTATAAATGAAAAGTTGTTGTGAGCTGAAAACAATATTAGGTAATTTCTAGCAATACGTCAAGTTTTGTAGTGAAAAATTGTTTGATTTCTGTTTAATAGTTCAAGATAAGCTGAGCACAACACACTAACTAGTGAAAGAAAGGCTTCGTTTGACCAATTATACAAGCACTATGTGGTTCTCCTGTCCCTGCTTTATGGATCTAGCTTAGTTACCAGAAGCTCTAGAGAAGCGCATACTTATTGTGTTAGTTTGATTTTGAGGCAATTTTTTCGCTGTTTCAATAACATTTCATAATTTTCTTTTAGATGATGGGGCGATTCGTGTTTGGAGAAATTATGTGGGAAATGAGGGTAGTAGATTAGAATTGGTAACTGCATGGCAAGCCTTATCAGGGATGATTCCATCAACTCGAGGTTTGTATCCAAGTATATGAAACCTCATTTCAAATCTTTGTTTAAACTGAACAATATTTTTGTATTGCAGAACCAAAATACTTTGCAGCAGTTTATCTTTGCAGTAGTCATATTCATAGGGTACATATGTATTTTAATTAGGCCGTTAACAAGTCAATGTTTAAAGAATTTCACAATTGCTTTTTGTTTTCAGGACTTCGTCTGTTTTTCTTCATTTTTTTCTATTATGATGACTTGTTTCTTCCATACGTTTTTCTACATAGTTTTCAGATTTTGAATATCAGAGTGAAAGTTCAATATACAGATATGTTTGGTATATTCTAAATTTAACAATTAAATGTTAACTAAACTTCCTATACTGAGAAATTTCAAAATAGAATGCCAGATTGCCAACTTTTTGCAGCATCCTCCAAATACTTTTATTCCAGCACCTCCTATAGTATTGACCAAAAAGCCAGAGGAAATCTAGATGCGGATCGAAAATGGCTTGATATTTCATTCGATTGCCTCCTTGTTTTTCACAAATCAAAAATTAAACGTTCCAATTGATTTTTGACGTTCCAATGCAGGTGCTGGGGCTGGATTGGTAACCAGTTGGGAACAGCAGTCAGGAACTTTGTTAGCTTCGGGTGATGTTCGCCTAATAAGAGTTTGGGATACTCACAGAGAGATGAAATTACAGGTTATTTCTGTTTTATTTACATTGACGTTTGTGGATCTAGTACCAATCAAACATTTTTCTAGTTTGTATTAGTTACAACTGAACTCCTGGTTGTCCTCCATTAACCTTCTATTATCGCATTGAATGTCTTCTACCTTTTTTCAGATTTCTCTGAACTTTCTCTAAGATCTCTCATATTAGCTCTATGACATTTTAATTCGAGCATGACGTTATAAAATCCCTAAGTTGTCTTTTAGTAAGCACTTTCCTTTATAATGACAATACTTAGGGGACTTGCATTGGCAGGGAGGGGGGTGCATTGAGTTGAGACACCTCAAAATTTGAATTTGTACACCGATACCTTTGTATGCCGATAGAATAATGTCGACATTATATTTTTCAAACAAAATAACCCTCTGATCTTTTACTGAGGAGACAACTCTACCCTCCCTAGAAATTTTTTTGATTCAGGTATGTTTATTCCTGGCGATGCCAAGGCATAACTTGAAGCTTAGAACCCTTTGAAAAACTATCCACGTACAACCAGTTCGAAATTTTCAATGCGATTTGCCTATCTTATAAACTTCAGGATATACCAACTGGTGCAGACAGCTGCGTCACCAGCATTGCGTGTGATTCTGTCGGCAGATCTTTGTTGGTAGCTGGCCTAGGGGATGGATCTGTCAGAATTTATGATCGAAGACTTCCACCCTCTGATTGGTAGGTACAAATAATACCAGGGCGGTGTCAGATTCTTGGTCTTACAGTAAAAAGGTATCTATTGAGAGGGCGATGAGCAATTTAAAATTTTTAAAATCAAAGAATGATATTTCGCTTTGGAAGAGGAAAGCTAGCTGGCTTTTGCATCCATCTTTTTCTTTGATAATTGTAACGTAAAAATTTATTTGTTGTAAGGATGTAGACGAAAGTTAAAAGGTTTAAGAAGATCTGTTTGTAAAATCACATACGCTTCCATATAGTTAAGAGGATGTACTGCAATTTACTAAGGGGCAAACTAGCCAGTTTTCTCTCCTATCCTTTTCATAATTGATTGCAACATGAAATATAAACGTAAATATATGAAATATAAACGTTTTAATGATAGATGCGAAAGTCGAAACGTTTAACAGAAAGTGTTTTTTTTAAAGTCTATTATAAATGCATATGCTCTATTTAAAAGTCTATTAATGATGCGGGGTGCCACTTAGACAGGTGTACACGCTTTGCACGCTTCTCCATAAATGTATCGCTTTAATTTATTTTAGCTGCGTCATTACATTGCGAGAGCATCTTGGATATATTGTCAAAGTATTTTTACAAAAAGGAACAGAAGGAAATATCATAAGTGGAAGGTATGTACTTTGTGGATAGGTTTGTCTTTTTTTCACTTATTGGTGCTCCACAGACTTCCAAAAATACAAATGTGATATTAGTTATTCTAAAAAGAAAGCTTTTTAGTGTTTAAGAAGGCTTTGTAAGATATTGTGTTTGCTGTTAGCAGCATCGATATCATTCATGATATTATTCTTTTTTAATCAGGATCTAGTGATTGATATATATATATATAGATTAACATTTTTAATATGCTACTATTATGCTACTACTATTTTTACAGATATATTGTGTCGTAATTTTCTTGTTTTTAATATAATGTTGTATCTTGTTTGTGGATATTAAATTTTTCATCTTTGTTAGCCAAGGTACAATAAAAAAGCTATAATATTTAATGTTACTATTTGTAGCTCTTTCTGTATTATTTATTTAAATTATTACATATTTTTAGTTTGGATGGTGACATTAAACTTTGGGACCCAAGATCATCACAGTCTTTACAAACTCTAACAAACACAGTTCCAAATATGGCATCATTTGATGTGCATCCGCAAGTGGAGCTCTTTTCAGTAGGATCAGCAAATCAAATTATCAAAGTTTTTGATATGAATGGACATAATATTAGTACAATTCGGTACCATGATGGATTCATGGGACAAAGGATTGGACCCATTAGCTGCTTAGCATTCCATCCATATTGGGTGAGTTCATTTTAAGAAATACTTTCTCAGCTGAATTCTAATATACACAAAGGGTTCTGGTTTGTGAGACACAACCAGTGGTAACAAATATATATTCTTTGAACCAAAGAGTAGCTTTTTGTGCCTTTTTAAATGAATACGCAATAGGGGCTTGTAGTTGCTGATTTTCAAAGAATTATAAAAGACAGCCAAAGACACTTGTGCAGTTCTTTAAAAGAAAGTGCATTGTGTAAACAAAGAAGGAAACGATTTTAATAGGAATGTTATTTATCACCAGAGCCAGATTTTATTATTTGTAGATTGAAATATAAAAATATGTACATATGCCAACTGGAATCAAGAAAATTGGTCAAGGCTTTTACCAATACAGTACATCTTATTTGAGGGGAAAAGCCCTTTTCATGTGTTTTGCTGCAACTTCTCCAATACTATCCAATTCTGTTCAATAAATTGCCAGTGAAAAGTGCTGATATTGCATCAATAACTTCTTCATTAGCTGCTGTGGATTTTTTCCAGCAATATTGGAAACTCCGGCTATCCCCTTGTACATGGGTAACATAACAAATAGGCACTCTGTCTGCCAGAGAACTAAAATAAGCATAGGCCATCTAGAATGCTAAGACAACATGCTATCATCATAAAGCAACAATGTCATATTTTTTTAGTATTTCTTGCTTCTTGATTCGATTTGTTTTCTAAATAAACAAAACTTTAATTTTGCTTTTTGTTGTTTAAAATTGTTTTATTACTAATTGCCTTTTTTTAACTTTCAGCCATATTTAGCAGCCGGGAGCACAGACTCGTTTCTCTCTGTATATTCCTCTGAAAAGTCAGTAAATCTTCGATTTGATCAAATAGGCCTTTAAGAACATAATTTGACAATAGATATATTTTTATTTCCATTTTAAGCTTCTAAAGCTCCTTGTTTTTGCATGAAAGGAGTTTCTTTGGTGATGAGAATATCAATTAAGGTTGACCTAATTGCTCTCCTAGAGGGATCATATTCTTTGGGATAGCGAAGTGGTTTTCCAGCTTGTAAATGGTGTGGTAAATGTTATGGAAATCATGAAATCTTGGAATATTTCTATTCATATAACTAAATCAAAAAAAGACAATTCAATGATAAAGCTGTCAATTATATTAACAGTTAGTTATTCAAAATTTTTCAGTCTGTTGTCAATTTGTGCCAGTTATGATTCAATCCCAGGATAAAACAGTGATATAACAATCCTCTATCATTTCCTAATAACCAAAGGCATCAAATTGTGATAAAAGGAGAGGCTATACCCAAACGACCCAAATATGCTGAATCCTGATTTTCATGCTGCAATGCTATTGGTGTGCACTGATCACATGAATTTAACTCATGTTGATTTACAAAACAGCCTCCACAATAGCAAGCTTTCAACAAAGGATGCCAATATCACACGAAACTACAGCATCCACACTGAAATATATATTACCCTCTACAGAGAAGGCATATTTACCACGGTTCAATGCTGTTAACATACTAAAATAAAAAACTGTGGCAGAAATGCTTACAACCTCTGGGAGAGCATAAATAAATTGATGACTTGATATCTTAGGTTTATATTTAGATTTAACTTGTAAATATTGTATTTGATGACGATTGTGTTTTACTTGTATCAAAGTAGTTCCCTATTTGTAACTTGAGTTTCAGACTTGTTTGTCTGGTTGTGTAAAGCAGTATTCTGAGTGCAAAATTTATTTCAAGTAGGTAATGTTGTGGCAACTGTTACTATTTCTTATCACATTTAATCCTATCAAATTATATACTATCACTTATAAATACATTTGATATATGCTCTCAATAACTTATTATCCTTATTTATACACATTTTTATACTTTTCACAAAACCCTTCTGAAATCTGACAGCATTTCTTGTATAATCTTAAAAGGTTATCGTAAATAATGTCCCCAGATGTATTTCCACTTAATAGGATGGATATTCCCTTTTAAATTGATTTCACCAGCTCTCTGCAATTTCTCATCCCGAAAGATGTGATTTTGTGTTTTATGTCCCAGCCATTGTTTATTTTCATTTTCGAATTGATTGATTGTTCACAACAGTTTGATACTTACAAATATTTTAATAGAAAACTGGATGTTTTGTAAATTACTATTTCAAATTAATCTCATCGGACAAAAGTGTCTTTTCCTCTGTCTTTGGCATTCTTATTATGTTGTTCTTGATCAATTTAATTGATTTAATTCTGAACAGAAATTATTTTGATATGGACTAAAGTTGGTTCAATCAGGTGTCATCATTTTAACAAATAGCAATAAATATTTGAATCAGAAGAGTATAAAAAAACGTTTGCATTTTATTTGTTGTACAAAGACAGACCTTGCAAAGATTGAACAAAATCCATTTTTAGAAGATGATGCAATCTTTAAAGTTATAGTCGGTGAATGACAACTAAAGATGTAATGCTTACATTATTTGAGCTTTTACTCATTATTACATTGATACCACCAAAATTAGTTGTAAATTAAAACATGTAATCATGTAATAAAACAGAAGGTAAAAACCATTGTAAGAGCTTATAAGCAAAATGACAAGTGGGACTATTTCATGTTGAGCCAACTGAGTGTTTTAGTGACATAGCAGAAAGAAAATGTTCATTGAATGTCTCTCAAAATTACTTCCATTTAACATTATATTCTTTTTTGAGGTTTTCTACTTGTGATCCCTAGCCTATGGATGGTCACCAAGTATCTACAACTGTGGAAAGGGTAGAATTATTTGGGGGCACCACTGGTTAAGAACAATCAAAACAAAATGGATTGTCAGTGGGAAACAAGAGAATTTTCATGATTTTTATAAACCAATGTAAAATAGTAGCTATCGCCCTGTTATCCACAGACAATCAAATAACAGCAAAGGCTTTTGAAAAACCTTTATGCATGTATTTAGTATGTGTTAAACTGCTTGCAATTGACAATATGTTGAAATACTATTTATTACTTTTTATCTTATCCAGCATAAACATAATTTGATTTTTCATAACTGGTTGTCCTTTTTTAGTCCTTTTACTCAGGTCTTTGCTCACTTTTCTGCGTTTTTGAACATTTTTTGCAACTTCCTCCTGATGGGCTTTTTTTGCTTCTGCAATATCCTAGAACACAGTCATACAAAGAAAATATCTTTAAATATCAAAATAAAAAGTAATAAGTATTTTCTAGACCTCTACTGAAATCTGTCAGACCTATATCATGATTTATGACACATTTTTAAAGACATCATAAAGATACTTTTCCAAACGAGGTTCTAATTTTTTGAACATTGATCATAAATAATGCATTCAAATTTTAAAAGGTACCTTCATTCCTTCTACAAAGCAAGGAAAAGTCAGTTTTGTTATTCACACTATACAAAAAGTATTAGCTAAATTAGTGATACTGTGAATGACTTCCGGTTCTAGTTTGAAAACAGATTTACTCTTTAAATAAAAAACCTTTTTTCTTTGCTCCCTAGCCTTTTCATCCTCCTTAAATTTTTCTCTTGCAGCAATTAGCTCATTTGAGATTGATTTTCTTTTTTGAAGTTTCAGTGAATCTTGGTCTGAGGTGGTATCAGCCTTTAAATCTTTTTGTAAACCTCTTTGCATTGATTTTCCATATTTCTTTAAAAATTTCCTCTTTCTGGCAAGGGCAAAGCCATGACCTAAAAATAAATCAATCCAAATTTTTTAGTTAAGTTCAGTTGCCATAAATTAGAAATCCATAGTTACAACATGAATAATTCAAAAAACAAAACAATTAAACAACATCTAGTAGAAAAAGAAATTGTAAAAAGTACTGAAGTAAAAACATTTGGCATTTTTACTGCATATATATGCGTATTATATATTTATGAACACAAGATAAAAATGAAACATCCCGAAAAATAAAAATAAAAAAAATTGTATCTATTTGATGAAAAGTACTAAACTAATGACAATTTCAACTGCTTTATAGAGAACTGATGACTCTTACTTTTAAATTCTTTTATTTCAAATGATTGTGCTCGATCCATAATGAAACCGTTCCAGAAAGGCCACATGCTTATTGACAATTGACAGTAGAAATGCATGGGACAACAGGAATACAAAGTGAAAACACTAAATTTGCAGAATCTGTTGTGTACATTTGTATCTTACAACCGTCATGAAGCCTGCATTTAGGAGCGTGCTGAGTGAAGTATCACATTTCGAAATGTTTATGTGGAATATTTCGTTATTCATTAAAAGAAGGGCACCTTTGACAGAGCTCCCTGCATTACTAAAGCTTGATGATCTTCTTTCGATACTTTTATTCTTGTAAGCTTTCGTATCATGCTTCCCCATCGTCTTTCCACCTTAGAAACAAATCGTCCGTTTATTTTTTAAGCATACTCGAAAACACAATATTTGCCACCATCATGAGCAAGTCTCTCATTGAAAATTGATCTGAGATTCTCTCGTCTGCTATAAAGAAACTGTGGAGGAGGGACACGTATCAACAAAGCAGCATGGAAAGAAGGATGCCGCAGATGTTCACTTGGAAAGAAATGGATGGGCTTTGAAGAATAACGTCACAAGCAAACTATTAATTACTTGGCAAGAGAAGGAGCGTTTGTTTACTCTGCTGTGTCTGAACTTCTTCCGGGAGCCTGTCTACTACATATGCAGCCGATGACCGTTGCTGGGAGAGCAGGGGCTCCCATGTTGCTGCATATTTAGGCATATTTTTATAAATCTATATTTTTAGACACAAGGAGAATACTCTCCACTTTGATAATGTTCCAGTTATTGAAGGCAGCAGTTGGCGGGATTGCATCAAAAGTGGGCGACGGTGAGCCACTGAAGTACAACAACACTAGCCTACAAGTTCATGAAGAGGAAGTTTTGTTTTGTAAAAATAATGTTTGTGTTCACTTACGAAAGAGTGTACGTAACGATATGAGACCGGGTAACGACGAACACATTCCTGGATACTTTAGCTTAAAGAGGATTACAAAAGTTGGGATGATACCAGATCTATTACTGACTTGGATTCCAAATACTCTTCTAACAGTAGGCCAGCTAGATGAAGGTCTACTTGAAGAATCAGATGCAACAATATGTAGTGAGACGAATTCATCACGCATGTCTGCTAGTGAGATAAGCTTTACTAATAATCAGGAAGATGACCTGAATAAATTAAATATTGATGGTACTGAAGCTGAAACTATAAGCAAAGACACTGAGTCTACCAGTGGTGCAATCATAGCTACAGAGAGCAAAGATGAATTGAACAACTCTGTCCCATACACTGAATGTTTGAGTCAAAGAAGCTCAGCATCAACTTCACCCAGGCATGAGCCAGGTGAAGGATTTGTGGCGCAATATGGGGGTATATTTAGCATTAATTTCAGTGACATGAAAGCTGTGAAATTGTTTCTGACAGATAAAGATGACACCAGTGGACAGTTGGTCATCAGTAGCTTAGAGAACCAATATAAGGTGTTCCATTTTCACCACAGTGGTCTTGATAAACTTGCAAAAATCTTCAACCTCTGGGAGGGTTGTGAAAAAGACAGTGAAGATAATTTTACAGAGACATTGCAGAAAGTTTATTTTATATCAAAGAATTTCAAGTTTGGAATGAAAACTGAAACTGGCGAAGATATGCATCCTGAAGATGGAAATTACCTTCCACTGACTTTGGACAAATGGATGGGATTGTTAAATGCCATGGGCCAAATCGAAGATATCAATAATTTCAGAAAAGTGAATACATATATTTTTTTTATTGAAAGTGTTATGAAAAAGTAACTTCAATAAAAAAGAATAGAATGATTCCATCATAAGTCCTTGAATAAGTTCTCAGAAGGGTTATTTTGCTAAATAATATTTTAGGTGGGGGCTTATTTGAGGGGTTGGCTTATTCAGAGGTGGATGTTTATTCCAGGGCTTATGGTTTTCAAAATTTGATGTTAGCCCTGTTCACAGGTTACAAGATTTTGTCCTTATCTGATAGTTTTTCGTAGAAGTCAGGTATCATATTCATCTGATGAACACATAGCCTGGTGTGTCCTCTGCTGATTTTTAAAGGAAGTCTAAAAGGGTGCATAAACAATACTTGAAAACCTCATTCGCCCCTGTGCCTGAAAATATTCAGTATAGTGTATAGGCTTGCACAGAAAAGCTTATAAACAATAGGGGATAGTCCAAAACAGATTGCCAATCATAATTGCGTCTTCAGGCCTTCTTTATCTGATATGGATGTGTCTTGTAGCGTGAAAACTATACCCCACCAACCAAATTTTTAGAATTATTTAAAAAGTAGGCTATCCTTTTTCACTATTACCTCATTCTGTTAGATGCAAAAAATTAAAAGCTTTTCGCAAGATATGATTACCTGAAAATGTAAGAGTTTCCTTTCTTTGGGGAATCATACATCTCTTTGTTTCCATGTTCAATTGCTGAGGGTGTTTGAATTCAGCTGAGACAGGTAGACCACACCCGTGTGTTACATGGTGTCTTGACTGTAACAAGACCATTCAGCTTTGTAATTGTCATAAGCAATTTTGCTTGTATTTACTTACCCCCCCCCACCCATAAAAAGCTTGAATGCTGTTTTCTTGTTGAATCAATATGTGTGAGGATTTCTTTGTTTTCTCCTTATTTTACTAATGTTTAAAAGTTGACTGTATTTGAGTGTTTTACATCCAATAACCTAAGTAGTTACATTTCTTTATACAATGATTTTTAGTACAGTTTTTAAAGACAATTTTCTTATCATTTAAAATTGGTCATGATGATGAGAATAATTTTTGCCCATATTAACATATTACAGTTGTCACCTGGTAAGTCATATTCAATTCTTTTGTCTCTTAGCATGTCTTCTTTGCTGGTGTAAATCCTGAAACAAGACCTGATGCCTGGAAATTTCTGTTGTACTGCTTTCCAATTCATTCAACTTCGTTTGAGAGAGACAGGCAAAGAAAAGAACATGAAGATGCATACAGAGCCATTCACGAGCAAAGGTATGTTAATAAAAACCCTTCTTAGTGTTAGTTGCAAAACCCAAATGCTTCTTTGTTGCACTTGTATTTATCTGGTGCTGCAATTGACTTTTATATATGCAAGGTTCTTTTGCTGACTCCCAGCTCCCTAAGAGTTTGAAATAGTACTTCATGGTTGTTTACAAAGAGGTGGAAAAACCCCAATGGTTGGGTAACCCTTTTAGAAAGAGAAAATGAAGGCTGCATTCCAAGAAAAATTTCAGGGCAAGGCTAGTTTTGTCATCTCGGTCAATTAATGCAAATAGTAATGGAGCAGCAAAGCAGCTAATCTGATTTAGTTGTAAAGCAGTCTGCGGCAGTCAAATTACGATTAGCACAGTATTTACTAGAGAAACACTGATGCTACCACTACCTCTTCTCTTCACATCTCTACAGATCAGACATGATAGTCAAAGTGTGAAGATAGTCCAATAGCAAGGGTCTCAGACTACTGATCCGAAGGTTTTAGGTTCAAGTTCCTGTCTTGACCAAGCTTTGAAAGTGAGCAGAGTCACCAGGGCTCTGTAATTCTAGGCATAATTCTAGACAGAGTTGTGGTCATATTGAGAGGAAGGACCAAGACACTGGTCAAGAAACACAGCTTTTCAGTGTCATAAGTCTTCCTTCGGAAACTAGGTAGCAACAAATACCATTACAATCCGATCTATGTGAAGTTCCCCTTCAATGTGGGAGACTGAAATGAAGCACCACCAACTAAAAACCGAAATTTGGCATTGATAAACCATGAAGTGAAAACAAAGCAATTTAAATTGAAAAACCAAATACTACCAGCTGGAGTATAGGTCCTTTTCCTTGCCTCAAGGAAAGATACATCGATGACATCATCAGAGCAACATCTCTTCTTTTGGCTGATCTTGAACAATTTATTAACTACGATCTTGAACCAATAGTTTTCATTCAGCCTTACAGTCTACGCACTTTATAACAGAAGAAAGCTTGCCCTTTTTGGACATCCTCCTTACTATCTCTGTTCACGAAATCTTCACATCCATCTACTACAAACCTACAGATGCTCATTGCCTCCTTAACTACGATTCATCGTTCCAAAGAAATGCATCTGAAACTTGAGTTCCAAAGAAATGCATCTGAAACTTGAGTTCAAAAGAAATGCATCTGAAACTTGAGTTCCAAAGAAATGCATCTGAAACTTGAGTTCCAAAGAAATGCATCTGAAACTTGAGTTCCAAAGAAATGCATCTGAAACTTGAGTTCCAAAGAAATGCATCTGAAACTTGAGTTCCAAAGAAATGCATCTGAAACTTGAGTTCCAAAGAAATGCATCTGAGACTCCATACCCTTCTCTCAACTCCACCGTCTTCGCCGTATTTGCTAAAATGATGAAAATTTGTTTCAAAAGCAGAGGAAATGTCTTCTTTTTCAAAAACAATAACTCTCCTGACCATATTACCCAGGCAGCATTCAATAAAGCAAAACAACTTTCTCAAAATAATGCCCTTCTACAATCCAACAAAGAAAACAACAACAACCGCATTCCTTTCACCTTGACCTACCACCCTCAAAGCAACAGCATAAAGAACATTATTTATAAAAATTTCCACATTCTTATTGATGACACTGAAATAAAGAACATCTTCAATGCACCACTACTGGCTTTCCGCAGAGACAAGAATTTAAAGAACCACCTGGTCATAATAATATTAAACCAAACATCACAACAGCCTGGTACTTACCCCTGCCAACATCACCTCTATTGGACTTGCACACATATTAACCAATCGACCACTATCACCAACCATAACCAATTCTTATCCATCAGATCTCACTTTTCCTGTCTTCCTGTGTTATTTTCTGCATCATCTGCACCTTATGCCAGTCTCTCTACATCGGCGAAACCTCCCGTCAAATAAACAACCGCTTTGGAGAACACTTGAGAAATGTTTCATCTGACAGAAGAACACCAAAGCGATGCAGATAGCAAGATATCTAAACATTTGAACTCCTCCAATCATTCTACTGCCGACATGTCCATCCTTGGCTTATTGCATGCACCGCAAGACACCACCAAACGGAAGACTTTGGAGAAACGCTTAGTTTTTAGCTTAATAACTCTTTGTCCTTATGGTCTTAATAAACATTTTAATTTTCTTCAATAATTTCTTTTTCTTTCTCTCTTTTCTTACTTTCCTCCCATTCCCCTATTCTGATTTTCGGTTGCGTCGCATCTCGCATTCTTTTCTATTTATCGAATCTCGCCTTCTCTTTGCTCGGTTCGTTTCTTTTCGAGCCACTTGATAGCGAGTACATGCTTGAAACGTCGTGTTTTTAACACTCAAACTATTTTATTTTCATTCTTGTACTCAATTTATTTGTTAACTTTATTATAATTATGAAGTATAGGTGGCATGAATAAATCGTCTTGGAATGAATAACGTTAATTATTTCGTTAGAGCCTTTATAGGATCTTAAGAAAGTTGCGGATGTGTTCCTTAATGGATCAAAGAAGTAAAAATGTGTAACAATATCTTGGTTTTGTTTCAAAAGTCCGACTTATGTTATGCCATGCTTATGTTTCGTAACGGATTTCGAAATAGTTTGTAAGAGACAAACACGAGTCTTGACCTATTAAAGCCCGGACTGGGCTCCAGCATTTTTTTAGTCATATTTGACTTATCCATATCATAACTTATCAGAGTTCTATACAATACCGACCAGGTCAAATATGCAAAACATTTGCAAACTGAAGAAAACATCTGTTATTAGCAGAGATTTTATGCTTGAAAAAATAAAAAAAACTGTCAACACACACGTATGAAAACTTGTGTTCTGCAGACACTATCTTCTCATGGAAAGGAAAGGCAAACTTAGAGTATTATCAATTACTTCTCTCTTTTTTATTTGTAAGAACCAGTAAATTGAAGTTCAGGCTGGCTGTTCTTAATTTTTTAGAATATCTGAGGCTGGATTGTTCTTAATTAGGGTGTAAGCAGTGCAATTGCTAGCTATTGCGGTCTAAGGAGGTATTCAGGCCTCGTTTGCCAGCAAAGTGAGTATCCTTTATTTGGTGACAAGTTCGAAAATTCGCCGAAAAAGCACCCCTAGATGACAAAAACTTCTCTTTTCTGAGATAAAACAGTGTTTAAAACTACAATTTACAGTATCTTCCACTCATCTTGCTCTTAATTTGTTCATAACTTTTGACCAGTTTTGATCCTAGTATTCTTTTAGAATTGTTCTTTTTAAAAAAAGCGTACCAAAGATCAGGGGACATGGTTTGCAAGTGTCCGGAATTAAAAATATTCAGTATCATTTCGACTTGGTTTAGTTTTGAAAATGGTTTTCTGCACAAAATTACAAGTTGCTCGAGAAAAGGTCAGATATTCTCCTGGATTCTCCCCTGTGATTATCAAAAAAGCGTGCGATTACTGGTAGGGACAAACTGAAAGAGTTTTTTTGATAGTAGAAGAAAGCAAGTAGTTCGAAAGAACAAGAGATAAGCTAACCAGCAAGAGCGGATTTGGCTTGTAGCATGCATTAGTGGCACTGTTTCATCGACAAATAACATAAGCAAGGATGGCAATTACTCCCTTCATGACTGTGAGAAAGACACAACATCGCTGTAGTTTTATCGTAATCGGAAGGGCAACGTTGTGTTTTCTTTACTGAAGTCTATAATTCAGTTCTGATATTGAATTCTGATGCAGCACACACAGCATCTACTTGCAAGTCGAAGTAAATATCACAAAGGAGTACATTCCATTCTGGGATTATTGATTTAGAAGTGTGGCCAGGCAAGGGAACCTGGCTGCGAAGACTATTCAAGCGACCGTGGTAGTGCTACTTGGCCTAAAAAATGTTTCAAAGATTCACCAGATAACAGGATAAGAAGGCCTCAAACATTGCAGCCAGAAAGTTTTGCTTTTGAGATGGTTAAAAATACTCTTGGTTATCCATGCATTTCTGTGATTTTTTTAAATGCATTTTTAACAAGTTTACAATTTTTTTATCCTTATGTTGTTGATTTGATACGTAAAATTTTTCTTTGTTTGATTTCTTACGTAATAAAGGATCATTTTTCTGTTTGCTTTTGCTTCTTATGACGTTGTTTTTTTCACTTACATCGAAAACCAAACTGCCCTTTTGTCTGACCACGAAATTTGTTATTTCTTCAAGATTGCTGAGAAGCTCTAATAATTTCTGAACATTCTTATTTTGAATTTGCCTCGAGGAAATAAACAAAACCCTCAATCAGTGCTTTGATAAATATGTTATTTGACGAATTGTTAGAAATAGGAGCACATGTTTTGAAACACAACAGTAGCATCAGTTCCATAGCAGACCATTTTGACAGTGAATTTGCATTAATTTTCTTTTGGTTCAAGGCTTTCGTTAACTGGTGAAGAATACGAAAAGTTCTGGAAAAATATACAGTTTACGGTTGATAAAGATGTTGTGCGCACCGATCGGAGCCATCCATTTTTTACAGGACAAGATAATCCGAATGTGGAAAAAATGAGGTATTTCATTTATGTCTTTATATCTTGTCTGACGCCTTGTTTTGCATTAAAAATGTAATCATAAGATTTATAGCTTATCAGAAAAACAGGCTTAGCCCCCTCTTGAAAGTGTGTCAAAGTTAAAAGATACCGGGAATGGTAAAATACGGATGTGATTCGCATTTCGTTGGAAAAAATTCCATACCAGGGTTTCCTTTAAAAGAAAAACAAGGAATGTTATTATGTGGCCATCTTCACTACTGTGTTAACTTGCGAAGCCAGAATTATATGTCGATGTGCAGCAGCTTTTATCATAAAACATGATTCCTTTAAAAACTCAAATGTATACTGTATCCAAAAAACCACATGATCATGGTGACTCGACACCAACCAGTTCTGTTGTCAGGACCATTTATTGGGATCGTATTAACAGGCCCGTCGGAACCGGGGGGCTGGGGGGCTGGAGCCCCCCCCCCCCAATAATTGTCAAACTGTAGTATGTTTCCTTTATAACAGTGTACTGAATGAGAAGGAAAACAATGGGCAGCCCCCCCAATATGAATTTCGTTCCGACGGCACTGTTAATTATACAAATATCATTATCTCCAAAAGTTATTTGCTGCTGTTTAATTGGTGATAGTGGGAGAATAGCACCAAGGACTGCTTGAAACAAATTTGTTAATCGTATAGGTATTTGGCCAGTAAAGAGCCAAAAGGCAAATTCTTCTCAATCGAAGACGAAACGTTGTTGCATCTGCAATTATTTGATGAACTGTCAACTGTTTTCAACTAATAGGAACATCCTCCTAAACTATGCGATTTACAACCCGGAAATGGGGTACACCCAAGGTATGAGTGATTTACTGTCCCCATTGTTGTCAACGATCCAAGATGAAGTGGATACATTTTGGTGTTTTGTTGGCCTGATGGAATTAAGTTTGTTTGCAACTACACCTACAGATAAATCCATGGACAAATCTTTGGTGAGTTCCCTCATTTTATTCAGATTTAAAGGCGCTTTGTCCTGTCAGTCAACTGTTTAGGGTTAGCAATAGGTTCTGTGTCGCGTTTATGATTGAGAAAATGTCACGAATTTGTCCTGCGTTGTCAATGGGAAAACGTAACAATATTCTATATATTCCAACCAATGGGAAATTTAGTCATCGAAATTCGTCGGGACCAGGGGCGTCGCCAAAGGGAGATGCGGTGGGTGCGGGGGGTGCGGGACCCCCAACTTTTAGTCCGTCGAATTTTTGCTTGGCAAAAGAAACAATTTTTGTTCTCTTCCTGTAACCTTTTTGCAACAATTGTAACGTCCTGTGGTAGTTGAACTTTCAAAGTATGGTATTAAAGTATGAACTTTGAAAAAAAAAACACACATAAGGAGCACTTAAGAGTATTTATCTGTTGACCACACCTTAATGAATGAGACACGCCCTTTTTGTTTCGCAAAAATCACTTCTTTACCCCCTCCAAACAATTTTTTGGCTTCGCCCCTGGTCGGGACATAGTGCCTTAAATTTTTTGTAATCGCTGTTTCGAATTTCTTCTTGATTTGATTCCAGTAAAATCCAAAACTTTTGTGAATCTTTTTTAAGATTTAAATTGTTATCTAGTCATGCTACATACAAAAAAGTATTCCAATTTTATCTTTGTCATTTGATCAAAAACCCTTTTGCAAACTTGTGAGAAGTCTAATAAGCCTTGGTACAAGATAGATTGATCACCGCCATGAAGTTTTCAATCTCAACCTTACGCCTATTATTTTATTGGGCTGTTTAGCAATTAAGTTCCCTACACCTTCTCGTAATATTATCATCTCTCTACATGTTATGCGTACAGCTTTATTGTATGACGTCATGGACCAAATGCTGATGATTTCAATGCACTTTCTTAGGGCTACCTGCGAGAGCTTCTGCGTGTGATGTACCCCGATTTTTACATCCATTGCCTGATGCGAGACGAAGAGCTTGACTTGCTGTTCTGCCATCGCTGGCTTGTTTTGTGCTTCAAGCGTGAGTTCATAGAACCTGAAGTTCTCAGTATTTGGGAAGCATGCTGGTCTGGGTATCAGACAGATTACTTTCACATTTTTGTTTGTGTTGCTATGATTCGTCTTTATGGTAACAAGTGCATCGAAAGTAAAATGCGCATTGACGATATGATGCAGTATTTCATGGACATGGCAATGAAGTTTGATGGTTCAGCAGTGCTCAGAGAGGCACGGAGCCTCCTCTACCGGTTCCGGAAGTTTCAGGTTATTCCATGCACACTGCAAGGTTTCCTTTCAGGACCGGGTGTTTGGGATGGTGGCATTGAACCAGAGATAGAATGTGTCAGTCGACATCGAAGATGCTGCTTGATCACTGCCAACGATTCGTCAAATGCAAAAGAGAATAAAAGAGACATTCAGCTTCCAAGCCCAGTGCTGGTGCAAGCTGATCAGGAGGAAGATTTACCAGATAAAGTGGAAGAGTTACCTGATAAAGCGGAGGATTTACCTGATAAAGCGGAAGATTTACCTGATAAAGCGGAAGATTTACCTGATAAAGCGGAATATTTACCTGATAAAGCGGAAGAGTTGCCTGATAAAGCGGAAGATTTACCTGATAAGGCGGAATATTTACCTGATAAAGCGGAAGATTTACCTGATAAAGCGGAAGATTTACCTGATAAAGCGGAAGATTTGCCTGATAAAGCGGAAGATTTACCTTATAAAGCGGAATATTTACCTGATAAAGCGGAAGATTTGCCCGGTAAAGAGGAGGACACAGGTAAAGAGAAAACCGATTCCAATGAAAAGACTGTTGAGATCTCACTGGGGGCTGCAAACAGAGTGACTGAAGGTGGCGCAGTGACTAATGAAGATAGCTGATATCATGATGATTATGATGGTGGTGACATTGTTAAGTGAAAAAAGTTCCAAACGGTCGACCATTTTTTGTTACCATTTCTTCAATTCTCCCCATATTAGAAAATGTCATTTAAAAATATATCATATATCAAATTTTGAACATTGTAAATAGTCATACAATTTATTTTGTTTTGTTTAGTAGGCATAACATGTCGTTAGTCAGTTATATGTGGGAATCCATCATTCGTCGTTTAAGATATATTTAGTGAAATTTCTGTCAAAGAATGCTACTTTCAAATATTAAGATAAAATGTGGTGCATTTAAGATAAAATGTGGTGCAGAAATATGATATTGTCAAAGAAAAATTGAGCAATGTCTGAGAAAGAATGAACAGATTTGAGCCATAAAATGTGATAATTAAAGGTAACAGCACAATATTTAGCTTGAACTATCAAAATGATCTAGAATCAATAGAAATAAATTTCATTTACGATCAAACGAGAATTCGTAACATACGCTTTCAAAAATGAAAACAACACAAATCACCTTATTTCATGTAAATGGTGCAACAAAGAATGCATATCTTGTGTTAATCAATACTAAACTGTATTGTTCCTTCACTGCCACTTTTTCCACAGTGTATTATGGATTTTACCTAACTTTCAAGATTCAATATGCCACAAAAGTAGTTTTGTAGTATTATCAAAAGAAATATCGTGTTTCTTGCTATTGATACTTACAGATAACGGATTCTAAATGATATGTCATTTCTAATTGATAGACATATTTAAGCCTAGTGAAGGGATCCAGTACTATATAGTCCACATTAACTAGCACTCTGTTTTGATGATTAAAAAACAAGCATATTAAACTTGTTTCGTTCTCCTTGGCATTGACATCACCAAGTCTGCTGATTGGTTATAATCCATTTTGTACATGAATCACATTACGTAATGTGAGTGAGAAACTGTATGTGCAAATATATGTCTCAGTTCCTTCCGCCCCGCAAGTGGAAAACCTGGGAAATTAACAAAACTGATTTCAAATTTCAGCAATTTCATAGAGCCAAGATATGGGCAAATATGTAGTATCAGGCTTCAAATATTTTATTTTCAATGCATGTTTATAACCATAGTTATATTGATATATAGAAACAGGCCATCTTGGTTTTGACATCATTTTAAAAACAGAACAAGCAGTGATGATCTTATAAAAATTGTTTTTTAATTGTTGAACTTCAATTATGTAATCTAAACGAAAGATAATGAAAAAGCCTTACAAGTGAGACAAACATCGGAATCTAAAGCCATAATAAACTCACAACTTTGAATATCAAATTACTTATCATTTAGGTTTTGTTCTAAACAAGCCAAAACCACATAAAATTATTTTGTGAACAGAACAGAATTGAATGATTGTGTGCAGTTAGAAATATTTAGAAACTGGATCCCCTATCTTCCTTCAAACAGGTTGTATCAATTTATTCAAATTAATACACAAAATTAACTCAGAATACAAAACAACATCCTCTACCAAAATCCCCACAATAGCATGTAAGGAAAAGAATGACTTCTCAATTACGAACTATTTAGGTAGTTATAAACTGTTGCAAAATTTGCATCAGTAGCTGAGAAATCTTCAAACAGGATTAGTTTGTAGTTTGTTTAGACAAATTGTGATGCTGGATTATGCCAAGCTAGACCAGAGCTGGCATTAAATTGTCATTGAACAACAAATTTAGACTGTTCATGTGGATACATCAAAACAATAAAGCTTTTACTTTTGAAGGCTGTTTATCAGCTGTTGTTGTTGACGATAAATCATGAACATCTCTTGATACAACACATAGATATTCTGTGTGTTCCTCAGGTCCGTAGTTATAGTTGCTACCAATGTTCAACAACTGTAAAATGAAATAAGAATCATTGAAGGACAAAATATGAAATCACATCATTCTTGGCTGAAGTGGTGCAATGTTAGAGTTTAACAAAGAATCACTTTAATCGGTGCCTGACCTTTTAGATGAACTGTTAGTTAAATGTAACATGTTAGATAGTAACATGTTGTACAAGTATTTCAAAATAGATCAAAGTGGGTTTACCCTGTTTTCTAGAAATATGAAGGCCCTTGCTGTCCACCTCGAAAAATCATGAATACCCTTTTCTCTCTGAGAAGAGAGAGAGAGTTGAAATAAACAGAAGGGGGGGGGGGTAACGACCAAGTTTGAATATTAAAAAGACAGGCAGGAGGTTAAATAAATGAGGGGTGAAAATTTTTTGCTGATGAAACAGGGGGGTTTAAAAAAGGAGCAGAGGGTTTTCAAAAAGCTTGAAAAAAATAAAAAAGGGGGGTCTGTTTGATTCTTGACCTCATATTAGGTGTTTTTAACTAAGGTCTTTAACTACCAACTGGGTGGTTGACAAATGGGTTTATTCTTATCTCCTTACTTAAATTTCCTTATAGTGAATGACTTTGAAACTATGCAACCTTAAATGATAAAACCTTTAATGCTGCAACCTCAATTTCAGTTCTACTCTTATTAGATTATTTTACAATTGTACAGCTCTGAGAAGGTCCAATTTTCTTGCAAGCCCATTATCAAAAAATGAGACAAATAGTTTGTTCAGAGTATTGAATTTTTATATTCAATTAAACATTACGAAATGTCTTTATAAAACAGCTGCTCAAGACCCAGAAAGATGCTGAAACCATATTGGTTTAATCAATTCAAAATATCCATACAAAAACTGTTGTTTGAAGAAAAACAAATGTATTGGCTGGCATGCAAAATCTTAATTTTTTTAATTTTCAGTAATTTATGCACACTAAGCAAGGATTTTCTTAACTCAATACTTGACTTTCTACCTAAATTAGTTTCTCTCACAGTGGCTTATCTCAGAAAATGGCTAAAGTTACTTAATATGCTAACAAGCCAAAACCACATCTTTCTACAAAAGCTGGATTTTATGGCCTCTATATTATATTAAAGCTTATTATAAAAGAACATTAACCGGCTTGAAACATCAGCTGAGATTACAGATAAACACATAACCAAAAGTGTCAAACAAGGGTCAAGTTGTTTATATTCTCAAGCCTGACATAATAATACCGTTTACCTCTTTGAAACTTTTGAAAATGTTTTTGCTAAACTTTTTCTGACATTTAGATAAGTCATTCACATGATTTTTTCCAGTTATGAGTGATCTTTAACAATTAGACTCTGGCTTTTAATGTTTTTATTTAACATTTTTCCTCTTGCCAGAATTTCAAACTGTTTTTCCCAATAGGCTATTTTAGTGGACCAAAGACAAAATTTGCTAATGATCATAGTTAACGCAGACTAAAAAATCCAATTTTACCTGCTCAAATCGCCAACCATCCGACATATTTGAAATGGTGTGTGCCAACTCCTCTTCCTGACACTGCAACACTCTGTAAATGTGTTTCATCGGTCCCTAGTAAATAAGATAAAGGTGTGTTTAAAGATAAGTTCTGAATGTTTTACTTGCAATGAGAGACATTTTGACAACATAGAAATATAAGCTCTAGACCAATCAGCGGGTTTGTTTACAAAATGTCATTAGCCAATCACCTGCCTCCACTTCAAGCTGGATTTTTGGCGGTAGGGCCGAGGTGGGAATAGGTGATGTTTCACTCCAGATATTTTACAAACCGTTTGGGTTTCTGCTTAGGGCTCCTAGATTTGTAACTAAAAATTACTCTAGAAACAAAGTTTGAAAAGTCCTCTTTGTAAAAAAAAAGGAAAAATTTTTTTCCTGGGCAAAAGTATAGGGGTAGGTTTTGCTCCAAAGCCTTGTTTTGGTTTGAAACATTGCAAAATCCAGCTTGAAGGGAGGCAGGTGATTGACAAAGGACATTTTGTAAACAAACCCGCTAATTGGTCTAGAACAAAATATGCTCTTGCAGTTTCCAAGCCAACCTCTTCGTTAAAACAAGAAAATCGTTAAACTTTACTTCAAATTTCCACAACTGTTTGCAAATTGAGCCTGGGTAAGATAAAATTGCCAAACAAACCTTGGGATTCTTTTTATCATTTGCATTGATCTTTTCTTTCAAGATGGTTACAAGTGATGGAATGTTATAGAATTCAGCCTCTTCTAGAACACCTATAGAAGAATTTTCTCATTTGTAGAAAACAGAAGATCATAAACTTGTCTGAGTCACTTTAATTGTGTAAATATTACCAAACTATTATAACATTTGATAACCATTAAGCTACAACATGCTTGCAACAACTTGTATGTATTTTTATTCTTGTTTTGTTTCCTATGATGAAGTCACATGTATCCTAATGTTCTAATCTAAGCCTTTATCTATTTCAAAACTCCTGCTGCAGTATTGATTTAACATCTCTGGAATGTCTATATATGCAATGAAGCCAATTAATAAAAATAAATTGAGAATTAAAATTGGTTTGGCTTGCAAGGTCCCTTGAACTGGGACACTACTTAAAGATCCTGCGCAGAATCACAATCATTTCACTAGAATTCATTTTTTGTGGCACCTACCCATCAATTCACACTGCTCCATTTTGTACAAAACAGGGTGAAAACTTCCATGGGGGAAAGTCTCTTCACATTGCTCTATTGTGTTTCAACAAATCTCATTTTTTCTGGGAATCCACTTTGGATAGTCCTATCAAAAACCTCCAATTTTGTGGACATCAACGTTGGATATTCATTTCCAAAACCTCCATTATTGTACCATTTTGAGTGAATCAGTGTGGACAATTGCACAAAAACAAGTGGTTATTCTTCTTCCTTTTTGTACTACAACAACTGAGCAGTGCCATTTACTATTGCCATATAATCTGATTTTCTCTTCAATGAGATTTCCAAAAGAAACATACTACTAATTGTTTACATATAGAATAAATAATAGCATAAAATTAGCAAGTGCTTGAAATTTTGTGTTTTTAACTATCAGAAAACTAATTTATTTCATTCTGGTACTCAATTTATTTGCACAAGAAATAACGATATTCAAATACGTACCTTCAGTAGATATGTCATTGTCAATGATGACTTTCCCATGCCTTAGGTAATTTAATATTGGGCTAAAGTACTTGGGGTCTCTGTCAATCATAAATGCACCACTTTCATCCTTCAAAAAAGAGGAATCTTGCTATTAGAGTTAAATAATAATTATAGATCTGATAAAAGTTCTAAATTTCTTGGCTCCCTCTTAACTTGTTTTCCTTTGTAGATTCTTTTTTGACCCCATGGCTACAAAGCATGGCTATCAATATGTATTGTAATTCTCTTTCAAATAAAAATGTTCTAAACTACCAGATAGTCATAAAGATTATTAATGTTATTTAATTTACTGAAAAAATGAAGCTGTTATGAAAAAAACAATATTACAACTTAGTATATATCCAGACATATGCTATATTGTAGAAACAATTTAATTTCAGTCTGCTTCAAGGTTAAATTCTGATAAAAAAAATATTACCAAAAAAATCACATAGTCAGGATATAAATCAATTGCTATGCCTTCACAGGACAATTCCTTGGGACATACCTGCTTGATTCAAGCTGACAATAAACTTCCCAACTAAAGTTTGTCAAAAAATATGATTTTGTTTCTAAACAAAACCTTTATTATTAAGTCTGTCTAATAATCTTAAGCATGTGTATAATTTAAGAATACTGAAATTTCAAGAAATGCTAGGAAAAAAAGCTGAGAGATTTTGTCCCAATATGAAGAAAATTATGTTGCATAAGCTAAAACATTTATCAATGACACCAGAAAATCGATTAAAACCATCAAATAGCATTCAGCCTGTGGATATTAATTTAAGAGAAAGCTTGTGTCACTGGAAACTACTTCAAAAAGTGCATTTTCCAGCAAACTGGAAGCATCAAAATTTGACAGCTTTTTTTCTACGGCAGCAACCATGGTGCTGCCTCGGACAGTTTAGTTATATCATGGGCTTGTTTCCGATATACAGACCTAAAGGGTCAGAAGGTCTGATATTATCATGTTAATTTTTTCTGCATCAACACAATGTATTTTGGAGGATGGTGTCAGCAGCTAAAGAATTTCAGGTATCTTTTCAATCAGGCAAATTGGTAAAAAAAAACCAAAACAAAGCCTGCTTCGCAACCGCCTTGGGCCATATTTTGAGGAAAGCTTATGAGTATTTTCCAGGATCTTCAATGAGTCTAGAGCGATGTTGTAAATATTTGGATGCATTTTCCAACAATCCCTAGAACCTCTTTGTGAAATTGTTTGCCACCAACCATGGTGGCAGCCTTCACTAAACACCTGAATGATGTTACCGCCCCCTCCCTACCCTTAACCTCACTCAATAGTGACGTCCCTGGTTATCATTGTTGTGCAGTTTGATGACAGCTGCTACGACGATACTAAAAATACTCTTAGCTAGTAAATACTCAATCAAGTCCTGCGAGTAATTGACTACCCCCTTTCCCCTCATTTGGAGGTCTTTTGGTATGCCACAGATTTAAAGACAGATAGATATAGATCAGCGTGCTTCTAAACTCTTCTACTTTTCTGCACATTTTCGCAACTTTGAAGGAAAATTTGAAGATTGCTAAATGAGAGGTGCCATTTTGACCCTTTGCCATTTTGAACAAAGAACTCCAAAAGAAAAATTTAAAAGCAATTTTACATTTGACAATACATGACCAAAAAGAGTGCCACCTATTATTTACATCAGTGAATCCCAGGGTACTCATAAGTGGGATGGGGCACTCATTCAAGGGGAAGTGCTGATTCAATTAATCACCATTAAGGGGTCCTTATTCTTTCAAGTTTTATGTGGTCTCAAACCATAAGCTACATCAACACTAGGTATGAAAACCAAACAGGATTTGTCAATGTTAGTTATTGCTTTTGCAGAGTTAAGAAGATGAGTTACCAAATATATGAAATAAATTAAAAAAAATGTAAATTCAAACGTTAATATTTCAAAGGAAATGACTACAATGGCAGTGGTTTTGTTATTCATCCAAAAAGCCATATTATTTTTCATCTTTACAGATTAGCATAGGGACGTCAATGACAACAATTGTAATTCTCGATTATTTGTCAACATGAGTTATGATTTGCGATATGTTGTTCTATCTTGTTTTAGTAGCACGTTCGAGTAAAAGCAGCCCAGTGGCGGAAGTGACGGTGCTCCTCCCAGATCTCTAAAGTGAATCTTAACATAGTATTGACAAAAGCAATTGCAATGGAACGGCTTGTTGGTAAAATTAAGACACCGGTTGTCGACCAAGCCACACTTCAGCTCTAGATTAATGAAATCTTTGGTTTCAAAAGCAACTTTAAACTATCGTGAAGTTTGAAATCAATTTATAATGTAAGTCATACACCTTACAGAGCTATTCAATGATTTGTTTAGCGCAACCTCAAACAGGAAATAATCAAACAAATCGAACTAAAATTGGCAAAAGCACCGTTGAAAAACTTAATTTTGATATCTCTAGGAAGATGAATCTTCCATTTCCCTGCGCCAATAAAGATACCAACCCTATGAGCGACATGACAAATTGACATCTAGCAGAAAAGGACAGCTGTAAGGAGAGAGATCAGGCAGGATGTCAATGCAACTTACTCGATCAGTCGGTAAATCAGCCTCCTCGTTGCAAAGGCGAGATAGGAAATTGTTTGGTTCCTTCGTGAGCGTGGTCTTTGTCGTGAGAAAAATTTTTCCTCCAACGTTCAGTTTCACCCAACTAGCTTGATTTGTTTTTGACTTCGATAAGTCACCAAAGTCTACGTTTGCGGCCATCTTGAAATAATAAACAGATGACAGAATCCACAGGGTGTTTCGTAAGTATCTACCTCGGGTAATTGCGAATAATCGCGGGACACGGTAATTCCACTTTCCCGCAAATAGAAAGTTCCCTTTCTTCGTTATAGCTTGAACAAAGGGTATACATATGGTATATCTTTTCTCTCATACTTTTGTCGAGACCCCCAAGCCCCCCATTTTCTTCCGTGTTTATTCCTTTATCTGTTTCTATCAATTTCGTGGGTAATTCTTGAAAATTTGACAAGCGACTGTAACGTGAATGCATTTTTCCTCTACGTTGTATCAATTCATCAAACTTTTACTTCTCTTAATATTTGGTACATTCAATCGAATTTTCCTGACAAGATAATCTCTTCCAACTTGGTGTCTACCCCGTAAAACGTTTCTTACAAAATGCCTGTAGAAAATCGGTGAAAATCCCCCTTCTTTTAAACCCCAATCCACTGAACTGTCGTCAGCAGCAATTAATAGGGGTATAAGATCCATTTCCGCAAATGCTCCTAGAAAATGAGATGGGACATATCTTTTGTGAATTTAAAGAGACATCAAATTTGCTTTGAAGGAAACAATATAGATATTTGGATTGCATTTTTGCTCATATTCTCTGTCTTAATTTGCATCTGACTTTCTCAAAATTTGTGGTTCTTTCTCTTTAAGTTTGCTTAGAACTCCAGAATGTTTCAACATTCAGTAGCGTAAATGATCTAAACTGTTGCTTTACCTGTATACGCATAGCGTTCTATTCACGTTATCTATCTTTTTTACCAAATACCAAACGTTTCCTTGAATAACAAAAAAAAACCAAAACCACTGGTGTTTTTTCAAAACGACCGAAACGAGAAAGTGAGGATGGCTAGCTGGCAGTGAGACAAAATAAAGCATAAACCAGAGTCCAGAAATTTGTGGTTTCTTGCCCCGGACAATATCCTAAAGCTTTGCGGTCTCTGACATAAAAGTGGGTTTCCTGTAAGGTTGTAGGAGCAGTGGCGTAGCCAGGGTTGGAAGATTTGGGGGAGGGGCAACGAATTTGGAAAAACGCCCAATTTTGTTGATGTGTTTGGGAAAGCTATGGCTTTTTTACGTGGCAATGTTTGGCTAATCAACCACAATAACTGTCATATGTAGCTCTTTGTGGCTGACTGACTCCATTCCCCAACTGTCTATTTCCTTCGCAATTTTTTAATATTAATTTAATATTCTGAATTGTGTAAGGCGAGGAAGCTCTTCGTGTAAAACTTGATTTTCCAAAGTTGCAAGCAAATGTCTAAAAATAATAAACAGTATTCAAAATTGTCAAACTAATTCCGTTCGCAAAATGCCCGAAAAAGATTTCCAAATCCAATTTTTAGGATTGAAGCATTTAGTTATATTTTATCGGGAATGTCTAGAGAACGTGAACGACTTTTCTATATCAGAGGCGGATCCAGAGTGAGTTCCTTGGTGCACAGAACTAAGTCAGTTTTCAAACATATAGCTAAAAATAGTGTTGCCTGAAATAAGTAATATTTAGGCTAAAAAAGTGAAACCTAGAAATTGCAGGCGCGCAACTACGGGGGGGGGGGTCCTGGGGGTCCAGACCCCTGCCCTTTTTCTCAAAAGGGGAAAAGTGCCCTTTTTCTTGGAAAATTGCTTGAATATTTTGGTTATTACGCTAAAATGGTTGGTCATACAGTAAATGACACACTCCGGAGATGTAATGGACCTCGCAGGAATACAGATAAATGATTTAGTCAAACTTTCACGCACTTGTTGGGTCAAACTCTATCTTCAAGCCCCAACTCTATAGCGTGTTTTATGATGCGCTACGCACTGGCTTTGAAGAAGGATGGTTGTGGGACTCAAAAACCAAAATAAAGGCACAAGACTTTGAACGGAATGGAACCTCTACGACCTCTGGTAAAAAGTTACAAGAAAAAAACCAAGACATTTTTCAAGCCTGTCACATAGTTTACAGGATCATAGAGGACCTTTGCATGAAACGAGCGAACGCAAAGAAAAATTTTCGGACTGGTATTAGCAAGCAGTAAAGATGGCACAAAAAGTTTCCCCCTCCCTCGGGCCTCCTAAACTTCTCGGCGGCACTGGATGGCAGACAGAAATAAGTCATGTGCATAGTTAACATTAAAAGGAAAAAATAAATCACACCTCATCACAAAATAAACCGTACACCACAACTTTTCTCTATTGATCAGTTTCCCTTGTCTGGCGTACAATATTTACAGAATTACTAACTGCTCATATTTTCGGTGTACCTAAACAAATGCCCCGGTGGACCTTTAATGAAGTTTAATTAGTGCCCTTTTTGTGTCTTGGACCCCTGCCCTCTGAAATTTCTGGTTGCGCGCCTGAATTGTAAGTTTTATCGCAGTCTCTTCAAAATCTTAAAATTGCCAGTTTGATGTCATTCGTTCGCCCTTTTCCTTTCTTCTTCTCTGTCGTGATTTTGAAACGATTTTCCAGACGCTGTGGAGGACAACAGCAGTCTAGAACTCAGAAATAAACGTTTTGTGCCTCGGAAGTCAATGAATTGAAACAGTGAAATTTTTATTTGGAACAAGGATGGAACTCAGTCAAAACAGCATCTTGAACTCGGAAATGATACCTGTTCAATGTGATGACAATGGAAATGAAATCGGAAATGAAATGACAATGGAAATGATACATATTCGTAAGAGAGCTGTACGATAGCCAGTAGTTGATTGGCTACCTATTGTTTCTAATCTGTTGTAGAAATGCAAAACTTTGAATTCGAAATGGCTACTGCAGATGTATTATTTTCACGACCCTCGCAGCATTTTAGCAGATTATTAAGCGTTTGAGATAAAACCAGGAAGTATCGTTAATTTTCCAGGAGCATTAACTACCTTTGTTTTAAATTGCAGTCGATGATGACATGAGAGACCTATGGTCAGACGGAACACCATATATTGAAAAATAGGCTGGTGTCTACATGCAGGGGCGTAACTTGGCCAATAGGTTTGGGGGGGGGGTGAAAAGGGTTTCTGCCCTGCAAAACTGAGTGGTGCCCTGCAGACCTTGTAGCAACGGTTTGTCTATAGGTTACTAGTAAAAGCTTTAACAGTGTACACTGGTCTTTACCAAGGACAAACTTCTAAGCAATAAAAACAAACTTGAAACTTCATTGCCTATGAAATATCTATTTCTCTACGTGAGCGTGATTTTCTTTTTATTCATTTCATTTAATGTTGGTTTGCAAAATACTAGCTAATAAACAGCTAATGGGGAGGGGGGGATACATGATGTAGACAGCGCAACGAAATTTAGCCCAGGGGGACTAAGAATTAAGTTTAGTGAGGTAGGAGGACCCACCATGGTTGGGTCCGACGTGAAGAAAATTTTTGAAATTATACCTTGTAAAAGGGCTAAAAAGCATCTTTCAGACAAAAATTTAGCAAAATACTATTGTGCTAAAAGAACTGATTGTTTATTGAAAATATTATTGTTTATTGGGAAAAATAGGGAGAGGGAATATCATAGTGGGGGCTTTCAGCTCTCTATTCCCCCCAGTGGCGCCGTACCTGTCATGAAAATAATTAACAACTTAAATTAATTTGCATGGACTCAATCTTGCCCTCATAAACATATGCATCCATCATTGCATCCATTGGCTATGACTTTCGGTAAGAAATGCTTTCGCTTTGCAAATAACGGAGCTTTTCCTTACATACCTGTTCCGTTCTCTAAAATGCAATGTCAGGAAGGGAGGTTCATAAAAAATACGATATTTCCATTTCAAAACGGCCCTTTACGAACTTCAGAGGTGGCGTTTCTGCGTGGCAATAAAGCTCTTCTTGGCGTCCTGCGAAATCTTCGATTGCCCTGTGAAATCGACTAATTTTTGGATTGGGGAGGGGGTGTCACACCCCCCACACCCCCCGGTTTTTTCGCCCCTGTCTACGTGGGTAAAACAACAAAGTGCGAGTAAAAAAAAAGGGGGGAACTTTGCTGTGGCATACAAGACAAACAAGAGGGTATTTAGAAAGGGAGAGGGTTGCAGAAATTTTCACAGAGGCACTGGTTTCAGTCGGGAAAAAATCTATAATCTAGATTTAGTGAATGGATAGTACCTACCAACCCCCCCTCCGGTACCAAAATGCAAAAATGTGAAAAATATTGTTGTCTTAGGCACAATTATCAATGCATTACCTGAAAGACCCTAGCCTTGGCCTGGAACTCAGTCGGATTTTTTGCTGGATCCGCAGAACATTCAGTAGAGGTATAAACGGGGGTTCCTTGCGAGCGAAGCGAGCAGAAATTTTTTGCGACCACGCCCTTGAGATTAGCTTAAAATACATTTCAGAATATTTCTTACAGTCGTTTGCCTGCAGTCTTTTAAAAAGGTTTAATTTTTTTCTGAACTATCAAATTTTCAACCATTTTTTGATTAAGCTTACCAATTGCTATTTTCTACTGTATTTAACTTGGCTTTATTCTAATAAAACTTAGTCTTTTGTCGTTTTCTGTGATATATTCTCAATTTACTGTATTTTCATCTATGCTTCCATGATTATACTCAGGTGGCCAGTTCATTAATATTTTCTCAAGGGTTCATTTTTTGATTATATCAACAAGCTCAACGATCATTAAAATCTGCTGATGTTTCCCGAGTTTCTTCCATGTGCCCATCAGTTTTACAGTTTTTACTTCATCTTTCCCAGTTAATGTTTCATTATATTTAATGATAGCTATGTATTGCACGCAGGTTTTGTTTTTCTGAAAAAGAGTCCGAATTTGAGTTTAGGCCTCACCCTAGATGCAAACGTTGTGATGAATGCGTAACCGATGTATCTATATTGTCGTATAAATTAACGAGTATGACATATCTTTTTCAGGTTTCTTTCCTTTCAACATGCTTGATTAGCTTCTAATATTGCCGTTCTACACCTGAGACCACGAAATCGATGAATTTACCATGGAATCGTATAGAGTAATAAAATGTTGAAATCCACCTTCTAAATGGTTTTTAGCGCTAAATCGTGCTTCTTCA